GGAGTTCTGGTGGCCAACCGAAGGTGCACATTTTCAGCTGACGTTTTTGGCAAGTAAACACGATCATTTTGTTTGTTTACAAACTGCCAAATTTGGCAGTTCACCACTTTCGGCCAAGCGAAGCAACTCTATAGCTCTTTTAGGTCTATTTTCTTCCTGTTGCGATGTAAGTTCTTGCACTTTTTGGAGTTGTAATGACTTTGTCCCGAGCTCATTTTTAATTTTTTTCCGAATGGAATATTGCGATATGTACAGCTCAGGAGCCATTTTGGGGCCACTGCGACGTGGGTTTCGATCAAGTCGCTTCTTTACTTTACGAACCATTTTTGCTGATGTTGCTGTTTTCTTCCGCCCACTTCCTTGGCGTCGGGCTACGCTACCAGTGTCATGGTAACGAGCGATGATACGAGACACAAAAGATTTATTCTCATTTAAATGCTGGAGTGCTTTAACGATAGTCACTTGTGGTTTTCCAGCCAAATGTAAAGAAATCACACTATCACGCTTGAATTCCAACACGAATAACTTTTTTTCTGGAAAATTCTCATCAAAATGCTTTTGTGCGCTTGTAAACAATATAATGAGCTGTCACTGGAATAATTTTGACAGCTGTCGGACGAGTGGCTCAGAAATGACAGCAGTCTGGAATTGGTTGCAGCTAAGTTCGGACTGGCCGAACTTTTAATACCCCCACAATTTTTAAGGATCGTGAATTTCAAAAAATCCATCCGCCGGGTAGCTATACGAAAACGAGGACCTATATAGGTAATTATCTTCCATATGCTGTAGCAGAATGTCGTTAATTTGATCAAAATACCTAACATCGGTATGAAACGATATATGATTGCTATACGAAAAAGTGGACTGACATGCCGCATTTACGAACTTAACCTAGTGCTAAAAAAAAACATTAAATCGCCTAAAATTCTTGCAATTGTCCCTCATTCAATGCAAAAATTACTGGCAATCGTATAGTCAAACATAAAATAGGAAAAATATTAGAAATTAGTTTTTTCCCCAATTGTTGTAAAAATCACATTTTGAAAATGTATCCTGGATCGTTTTTACAAAGCCGGTTGTCTGTGTTTACATTAAATGCAAACTATGACTACAGAATTATGTAAAAGCTAAGAAAAACAGTTTAAAATTATCTCCATTCTGCTACCTTTTTTATCAAATTTCTGGCGAACAATTAGGTATCTTCATATTTTTTTATTTGGCATATAATGCAAACAATAACAACACAAAATAACCGACAAAAGTAATACCAAAGATAATCGCCGTAATGTGATTTTCGTCTAGACACTCAAAAAAAAAGTAAAATTCAATTCCTTGAGGTCGTCTCTTAGATGGCGGCGCCCTGTGTGTGCTTAACCATGGCGAATTGGTTTGAGATTGTCATAAAAATACCAACTTTGCAACGCCCTTAAAATAAATGGACCGTCACAAATTATGAACAATGGAATTGCAAAGGATATTTGAGAAGAGGAAACAGTTTTGAAGTTTGGCGGACGAAAATTATGGGACAACAAAAGATAAAAATTAAGATTCGTGAAGTATACTTTAAAAATTTCAAAAATTTATAGACAGAAAATTTTGCCAAAAAAACTGATTTTAAAGAGGGAGGTTCATGCATTTTCTTTTGACTCAAAATCTGAGTTTTGCTTTTATAAAATTTTCTCTGTCAGACTCTCTTTTTACAAAAATGCTACCTTTTCCAATTTTCCATTTTAAAATAAACCCCCTATTTAATGAAAACACCAAATACCCTCATAATAGATTTTCACGGTAAAGAAAATTGATACTTTGTAATGTTGCTTGGAGTAATAAAATTTTCTTGCATTTGTTCGAAGATGTGTGAAAATCCATGCATTAGAAAACCTCCAACCAGAAAAAGGGTTCGTGTTGCTTTTCCCACTTCAGCCGTCGATTAGCACTTTTGTAACCAAAGTACCAATATAAACATTTGAGAACGTGTTGTTCGCTCTCTCCCTCTCATCTTTTTTTTAATTTTTTAAAGAAAATTTGTTTTGTTTTTCCGGAAACCACTCAGTGTGGAAAACATCGTTTTATGGTTTTGGGTGTCCAATAAACCAATGTTTGGCCGCCATCGGCTCAAATGATGAGCTGGCGTGCATCTCAAGTGTTTGTGTTCGATTGACACATAAGTGTGACAATTGCAATCGATCATCGCGGCAATTGTTTGGGTCATGATTTATGGTTATTTGAAAACCAAAAACATTAAGCGTTGCAAGTTAGTTGCCGCAAATGGGTTTGCTTTGGAGTTTTTTGGAATTCTAAAATTTGAAGAATAAAAAAATCATATGTATAAAATAAAAAGTGGTTTGAAACAAATATCTCTGTCCTGAATACGATGACTTTAAGCATCCACCAATACATACGTTTATGACCTCCGAACATTCTGGGTTTTCGGAAAATATTTTCTATTTCGAAGTAATCAAAATATTAACAAAAAACTTAAACTTGGTGCGTAGGCGTGTGATTAGTGATTAGGCCAGGTTTTTTTTTTTTCGAAATTTGTACCAAAGGGGTACGAAAAGTACTAAATTGTACTAAAAAATTAGTACTTTGTATTGGACAAACTGGAGCTGGAATTCTGAAATTTGGAATGAGAGCAACTGATGGAGTGCAGGATAGATGTACTAAAGGACTTTTGGAAATTCGTACTTATAGATTAAAAATTCTAAAATGGTACTAAACTTCTATTTTATATTATAGGAACAGATAGAGCTAAAACTTGAAATTCGGTATGATAATCAAGGTTGAAAAATAAGATTGAAAATAAGTATGGAGATGGTTTTGAAAATTTGTACTAAGTGTGCAAAGCGGACTAAATGGTACGAAATTTGGAACAGTTTAGTTTAGGGTGAACGGATGAAGCTGGAAGTTTGAAATTTTTTATTGGAGTCCCTTTTGGTGGTTGGTTTGTAATAAAGAGGTGGTTTTGGAAATTTGTACTGCAAGTGCACGAGTCCCTATTGGAGTCCCTGTTGGTGGTTGGTTTGTAATAAAGAGGTGGTTTTGGAAATTTGTACTGCAAGTGCACGAAACGTACTAAATAGTACTATATTTGGTACAATTTGGTATTGTGTGAACAGATAGTGCTTGAAATCTGAAATCATGTGTAGCCTGGGCATATGGAGGCGGTTTGGGAAATATGTACAATAAATGTACGAAAAATTCAAAATGGTACTATAATTGGTTTTGGCTGAAGGGATAGAAAAACATTTCTGAATATTGATATTTAGATTACTGATGGTCTGTTTTTGAGATTTCGCGGTGTTGCAAACCACCGTACGAAAAGTACAAAGGAATAGAATTCTCAAATTTTATATTGAGGTCTCTGCTAGTATTTGGAATTGAGATATACAAATGGTTTTGGAAATGGGTACGCGAAAAGTACTATATTTGGTTCAATTTGGTATTGGGTGAACAGATAGTGCTTGAAATGTGAAATTTGGTATTTGGGTCGATGTTCATGTGTAGGTCAGGAATATGGAGGTGGTTTCGGAAATGGGTACAATAGTTGTACGAAAAGTACTAAATTTGATATATGGGTGAAGGAATATGGCTGGAATTCTCAAATTTGATACAGAGGTCTCTGTTGGTATCTGGAATTGAGATATGGCGATGGTTTTGGAAATGTGTACTTTAATGGTAAAAAAAGTACTTAGTAGTACTATATTTGATAATGGGTACATTTAATAGGGTTGGAATTCTCAAATTTTGATATTGAGAGTCTGTTCGTTCGTATCTGTAATTGAGATGTGGAGGTGGTATTGGAAATATGTACTAAAATTGTACGAAAAATACTAAATGGTCAAAAGGGCTGGAAATAGAGCTGGAAACGTCATATTTGATATTGAGATCTTTGGTGGCTTCTGAAATTGAGATATTAAGGTGGTTTTTGAAAGTTTTACTATAATTGTAAAAAAGTTACTAAATAGATATTGTACTAAATTTGGTATTGGGTGAAAGAATAGGACTGTAATTCTCAAATTTGATATGTGGAGGTTGTTTTGGAAATGTGTGCCATAATATTACGAAAAGTACTAATTTCTACTAAATTTGGTATTGGGTGCACGGATAGAGCTGAAATCCTGAAATTTGATATAGATGACTCTGTCGGTATTTGTGGTTAAGATACGGATATGGTTTTGGATATCCGTACTATAATTCTACTAAATGGTACTAAATTCTGGCAATGTAAATAATTTTGTTAAATTTGTACTATCAACGCACTAAAAGTTCAAAATGTCCCAAAATGATGGCATTTTTTGGGATAAAGATGGATTTTTTTTTTTTTTTTTTTTTTTTTTTTTTTTTGTGAGGCATTTTCCAAATATTTCCGGACAATTCTGTTGAAAAATGTGCAGAAAATCTTCAAAATTCTTAAAATGAGTGCCTTTGTATAGGGGTTATACAATAAAGTTGGTAACCCATCTTCGAACTTGATCTAAGTTAAAACCCAAAACGCCATGTGTACCAAATTTGCGCACTCTATCTCAATTCTCTCAATATTCCTATATCGTGTCTACAACAGACTGACAGACTCGACTAAATCGGATTAAAATTTAAGATGAGTTACAAACGGATGATCAACTTAACACACCCTCCATATTCTGTTGGGGGTATAAAAATTGAGTTTTGTCGGACAGTGTAATATTATATCCTTTAAAACTTGCCCCCATGTAAAGAGTACCAAACATATAACAGTGTGCGCCTCAAAGTATGCTTTACTTAATTGACATTTTGCGTTGGTGTTTCTCCAGTAAGAATAATTTGATTGTTTTAATAACATATAACATCGTCCAGCCGAATACTCGAATATTCCGCCTGTTTTATAGTGCCCAATATACACATAGATACTAATTGGCCGATCAACCATGGGAGTTTCCGGAATGTCAAAATACATTCATAATAATAGTAATAGTGATTTATATAATAGTTCTTTTCTAATATCCGAACTAAATTTTTCCTCTTGTGTAAAAACGAAAATTTCAAAATGTCATTTAAAAAATAAACAATACATAAAATAACTACAAAACAAAAAGCAAACAATTATGGGCGCTGGAAACTCAACACCACAAACGACACGCATTGAGAATCCGAAAAGAGGTATACCCATCGAAGTCACACCATCGGTGGTGACGAGATTGGAAAATGCCCAAAAACTGCAAGGCAGCGAAAAGAACCTTAGAAATCAGCAAGCTAAAGAGGATGCCGAAACAACATCAGATCACAAACATCAATCAATACCGGCAGGAAAACCAAAAGTCTACCCAGATTCCAACAAAACGCAAGGAAACCCCAACTTTTGGTCCGACGACAGTCAAGGTGACGTTTATCGCAAAAAATACAATGAACATGAGGAATATCAATTTGATAAAACCTTCGAAAAACTCGAAAATATACTCGGGAAACCGATTGAATGGAAAGAAGATATTGAAGGTGAAATATTACATCTACGCAAAGATCTCATCAAATGTTATAGTGATAATCCGGGCCGAACTTTGCATTGTTCGGAAGTGGCTAAAAAATATCAAGATTTTGTATTTGATCAACAATACAAGAGCATCGTGAAATTGACAAATGCCAATGAGGAATCGGCAGCAACGCCAACTGAATCACCATCTCAACCCTATCAACATTCACCGCCATACCATTAGCTCAATATTTAAAGCTGTTCTAATGTTAATAAAATTATAACTCGTTTTTTATTGATGAACATTTAAATTTTTTATTTGGTCATAGCTCCTTAATTGTTGAATTTTCCGAATTTTTGGGATTTTTTAAATCGTCGTTTTTTATTGATCATTTTCTTTTTTTGTTTGCCATAACTCATTTATTATTAACTTTTTCGAGAGGTTATGTACCATTAGATACGGCAAAAACGTGTCTCATCGAACTAACGGTTCTCTTTGGACAAAATCCGTTTCAGGACATCTAGAGTCGATCTAGCGATGTCGGTCCGTCCGACTATCTGGCTGGTGCGCACTCTCGAGTGGAGTATCCGATTTGATCCTAATATTACCATTAAACTTAGATCGTGTTCGGAGATGAGCAATATCGGTTCACTCCTTCTGGTATCTCCCCCACGAATGTTTAAAATTTTCAAAAAAAAAAAATATTTTACTGCACAAAAAGGGAAAGGATAATCCGATTTTGCTCCAACTTCAACTCCAAATCCTAATATTTGCATTAGTGCTAAGTCAGGTTCGAAAATGGACAATATCGGTTTACTCCATCAAGTACCTCCCCCACAAAGGGTCAACATTTTGAATATCCATGATGCTCATAAAACGCGAAATGAACATGCGATTACATTCAGATCTGTTATATCTCAATATGTCCATCAACACAACATCTCTTATAAATATGGTTGAGATCGGTCCACTCGTTCTGGTACTTCACCACAAAGGGTCAAATTTTTGAATATCCATGAATTTCATAAAACGCGAAATTAACATCCGATTTCTGGTACCTTCGCTACGAAGAGTCAAAGTTATAAATAACCAAAACGATCCTAAAACCCGAAATGAGTATCCGGTTCTCTTCATATTTCACACATCCCATTATTTCTACTGACACAAGATCTGCTGTGAAGGTGGGAGATATCGGTTCGCTCCTTCTGGTACATCCCCTACAAAGGGTCAAAACTTTGAATATCCATAAAGCTCATAAATCTAGAAATTAACATCCGATTTCATCCAGACTTGGCACATCTGAATATTTCTATCAACGCAGCATCTGATATAACGATAGCACAGATCGGACCATTCCTTCTGGTACCTCCCCCACAAATGGTCAAAGTTTTAAATAACCAAAACGATCATAAAATCCGAAATAAGCATCTGTTTCTCTTCATATTTCACATATCGGATTATTTCTATTAACACAATATATCGGTCCACTCCTTCTGGTAACTTCGCCACAAAGGGTCAAAATGCCAAATATCCATGAAGCTCAAAAAACGCGAAATTAACTTCTGATTTCATTCAGACTTGGCACATTTGAATATTTCTATCAACACAGGATCTGTTATAAAGATGGTAGAGATCGAACCATTCCTTCCGGTATCTCCCACACAAAGGGTCAAAATTTTTAATATCCATGAAGCTCATAAAACGCGAAATTAACATCCGATTCCATTCAGACTTGACACATTTGAATATTTCTATCAACACAGGATCTGTTATAAAGGGTCAAAGTTTGGAAGAACCAAAACGATTATCAAATCCGAGAAATTAACATCCCATTCCATTCAGACTTGGTACATTTCAATTTTTCATCAACACAAGATCTTTATAACAGATGGTAGGGATCGGACCATTTCTTCTGGTACCTCCCCATATAGGGTTCAATATTTTGAGGAACAAAATGCTCAAAGACATACAAACAGGCATACAAATTACTTGTAAGACCTCTTGTGAAGATGATATATATCGGCGAATCCCTTCCAGTGCCTCACCCACAAAGGGTCACATGTTTCAATACTTTTTTACTTGCGAAACATGTCAGCGATTTTTTACAACTTGCTACATCATCCCAGAAACCTGAGATGAATATGGAATTTATGATTTTGCACAAATTCGGATATAAAAGTTCGATTTTCTTTTAATCTTGCCCATACCAATATTTGTATTTATATTAGATGAAGTATGAAAATGGAATACTTCGATCGACTATATCTGGTACATCACGCACATTTTAACATTTTCTAAAAATTATCACACATCTTATATAAAGTGAAGGAAGTAACCAATATAATCCAAACCTGGCACGTTCGAAACCTACTACATAGAGGGTCAACAATTTGAATATTCATAACAAAAGTCAAAATATATTTAAATAATCCAACATTGGCTGAGGGTATACAACTGTCGGAAAAACCGACAGTTTTCGTATTTCAATGGTAAAATATTAAAAATTAACAACACTATAACCTTTTTTTACACCCTCCACCATACTATGGAGGGTATATTAATTTTGTCATTCCGTTTGTAACTCCTAGAAATACTCATGTCAGACCCAACAAAGAATATATATTCTTGATCAGCGTAAAATTCTAAGACGATCTAGCCATGTCCGTTGTATGTCTTTGTGTCTGTCTGTCTGTTGTAATCACGCTATCTTTCGAACATATTGAGATAGAAGGCTAAAATTCTGCACACATGTATATTTTGCCAGTAGGCAGGTTAAGTTCGTTAATGGGCCATGTAACGGTACCTCCGGTATTTTGATGACTTTAGCGACGTTATTCACCGGAATTGTTTCAAATTTGGCATTTGAAGTTCGCAATGGATACTACAGCCTAAGACAGAAAATTATCTGTGCAGGTCCACGTCTTCGTATAGCCCCCATATAACGGTACCCCCCGATATTCGGTATTTTGATGATTTTAGCGACATTATTTAACTGAATCGTTCTAAATTTGGTATTTGAAGTTCGTAATAGATACTGCAGCATAAAACAGAAAATGGGCCGTGTAGGTCCAAGTCTTCGTATAGCCCCCATATTACGGTACCCCCCGATATTCGATATTTTGATGATTTTAGCGACATTATTTACCGGGATTGTTTCAAATTTCCCATGTGAAGTTCGAAATGGATACTTCAGCCCATGCCAGAAAATTGTCTGTGCAGGTCCACGTCTTCGTATAGCCCCCATATACGTTACCCCCTATATTCGGTATTTTTATGATTTTAGCTATTTTATAAACAGATTTTTCTTCAAGTTTCGCATTAAAATATTGTAATAACTTATGACAAAAGTTGCCTATGCAGGTCCACGTCGTCGTATAGGCATTTGGTATTTTTAAGATTTTAACAGAATTTTTAACGGATTTAATTTTTTTTGGAAATTGTCAAATTTGTACCAGATGGTGGAGGCTTTTTTACTTGTTTATAATTTAAAGAATTAGATCTAACGGCTACATCTATTTAGATTTTCAAACTGTACTTGAAAGTCAAAGCAATTCTCTTCAAACTACGCAAAAAGCTTTCCTCAACGCAAATAAAAGCTTTCAGTGATTAATTTTCAGATTTATATTTTTTTTTTTTCAAGTTCGTTGAATACCACTTGTCGTGTTATTAGTGCGAATTTTGTGTTTGGCATAGTAAAGACGCGGCGGATATTTCTGTACACCCGCCCTAGTAATTATTAATAATAATGTGACAAATAGCAAAACAGAAAGCTACGAAAGATATTATTCAATCTGCAGAGTACAAAACAAAAGAATTTACCATAAATTTATTAAATATTGAAATTAATTGTAAGTTAAAAAAAATGAAATAAAAAACAAATGCAATTTTCATACAAAAAAAATCACTTAGAAACCAAACACAAATGGTCTGACATGCAATCTCAATAATTGAATAACAATATAAATATGAATATTATCTAACATCTGTTTGTGAGACCCGTCGAAATTTCCATAATGACCAAAACAAAAGTGTTCCGAGTTCTGTGAAAATGATACAATATTCGCAATCAATAAAATCAGCCAGCCAGCCAGCCAGACAGACAGTCAGTCAAGTCAGTCAGCCAGCCAGTCAATCAATCATTATTGTTGCTATTTACTACCACCGCTTCTCCGCTCTTGGCAACCGTCTACACAAATGTAAACACAATAATATGTGTACAACAACAACAAGTAACCCGACTAGAGTACAACAACAAATTCTTACAACGACGCTGTTTTTGTTTTTGCTTTGATAAAACGAAAAGTTTACGGAATTTTTTTTCTGCTTTCGTTCTTTCACGGACTGCGTGGTGTGTGTGCTTTTTTGTTGTATCAAACAGCTGATGTCACATGTGCGCGCTGTACAAAAGTCCACCGACACTGGCGTGATGACGTATCATTACCAATGTTGTTAATGTGTGATTTTTAGTGAAATCAGTGGATTAGAAAAATACCACAAGTGGATGTGAAAAAATCGCAATTAGGCAACAACATGTTGCGAGGGGAGTTTTGTTTGTCAGCTGACTAATTCGTGGCTCACTACAGTGACCGCAATAAATATAGGTACGATTTTAGAGATTGTTTATTTTAACATTATTTCAAATGTTTACTCTGTAATCGTCTCTGTACCCGACAAAATTATTAAAAACAAGTAAAAAAGCAGTAAGTTCGGCAGGGCCGATCTTTGGAAAAAATTTGAAAATTTTCAAAATAAATAAAAAATAGAATTCGTTATAAACTCTATTCAAATCTTAAACATACCGAGTATAGTGAGTGGCCGCTATTTTAGGGTCTATACGAAGACATGGACAATTGCAATTTTCTGGCTGTAGTACCCATTGCGAAGTGCAAATACAAAATTTTAACAATTCCGGTGAAAAATGTAGCTAAAATCATCAAAATACCGAAAATGGAGAGGTACCGATATATATAAGCTATACGAAGATCTGGACCTGCATAGATAATTTTCTGTCATACACAGTAATACCTATTGGGAACTTCAAATACGAAATTTTAAACAATTATGTAAATAAAATCGCCAACATAATCAAAATACCGGGAGGTAACGATTTTTAGGGGCTATACGTAAACTCGTACCTGCATAGACAATTTCCTGTCATTAACTGTAGTACTTATTAGGAAATTCAAACACGAAATATGAAACAATTCCAGTGAATAATGTCTCTGAAATCAGCAAAATACCGAATATTGGGATATACGGTTATATGGGGGCTATACGAAGACCTGGACCTGCATAGCCAATCTTCTGTCACAGAATTCCGGTGAATAATGTCGTTAAAATAATCAAAATACCGAATATAGGGAGGTACCGTTATATGGGGCCTATACGAAGAAGTGGACCTGCATAGTGAATTTTCTGTCACAGGCTATAGTACCCATTACGAACTATCATAACGAAATTTGAAATATGGAACAAAAAATCAAAATACCGTATATAGTGGATCTATATAGCCCAGAAATTATGCAGACCAAACACACATTTTATCAACCTACTTTAATTCGGTCGGAAGCTAGAGTGATTTCCACAGATGGATAGACAGACGGATGGTAATCAAAAATCATGAATATATATACTTTCCTGGGTCCGACATGAGTATTTCGAGGTACCATCCATACTATGGTGGAAGGTATAATTATATAAAGTTAAGAGGAAATACGCAAAAGTTCTTGATTTTACAACGAAGAACGAATGAAACCAAGTATAAAGTAGTTTCACGGTTGTCAGTTTTTGATTAGCCCAAATGGTAATATTGGTGGTTTGCCATTAAATTTGGCATATCAGCACGGACTGTTAACTCTATTCGAATATACTCAGTGAGACTATTTCTTCGACCACGCCTTTGTTAGTTTATAATTGTGCCATTACAAAATAGGGGAACAAAGCATAAATCATAAAATCCACTGCCGATTATTAAATTTTTAAAAGAAATGTTTTTTTTTTCGACATTTTATGTTGTGTCAAACATAAACCTTTTATTAAAATGTTCCACCAAAATATTTCTACCCATTTGAATTTGGTACTTCTACCATTTTGATTGAATTGTATTGAATATTTCGATCATATTTTGAACAGCGTATTCAGAAGTTGGTTATGTAAGTTTAATAACAAATTTCTAGTTTTTAAAGTTGAACAATCTAGTTCACTGAATTCATTGTTGTTTCTCGTTCCTTCCCCAAGATGAACTCGTGCATCCATGAATCCATCGTTTCTTTCGTGCAATAATTCCGATTATATCGGCATTTTCAAAACTGACTATCGAAAATATTGAATGGGACAAATTTATCTCTCATGATTAACCTTTGGTTTATTTCCATGCTATTTTCCTTCTTCCTATTTTCAGAGTAATGAAGTTCTGGAACAGACCAATGATTTCCATCAATAATGTTCTCGCAAAAAAATCACTTATAAAAAAGTAGCGATTTATTCTCAACACTGTTGTTAGCAACACTGTATTCGTGTCAATGAAAGGTAGAAGCAAAAACAATGCACCTAATGCAAACACATTCACAGAAACGAATACTTCCGTTGCTCCCACTAAACATTCAAGGTCGCCATTATATTTCCTGGCAAAGAGTTGCCATATTTTTTAAGTTAATTTATTCACAAACATCATTCAACGCTTATGAGGTAATATTCCTCATTTTTTTGCTAACATTTTACATATTTTTGATGTTGTGCCAAATATCTAATCTTTTAACAGACGGCAATTTGTGACGTCTAATTTCACGAGATAGAGAAAAAAGCAAATGAAAAACTTCTTTAAGAATTTGACTAGTCATTTGTGTAATTATGTACTGAGAGATATGTACATACGTCTATAGATAAATACAAATTTATTATAGACCATAATTAAAAGAGGAAGTAAATTGAAAAAAGTTCCAAATTCTGAATTGTTAGAAAAGCAAAAAATATATTTTATAAGACTTTTTTTTTTTTTGTATGAATATTTAATATTTTATTAAAAGTTTTCTAGACGTTATAAACACTCATTTGCTTCCAATAAGAAGCTAAAGTACCAATTACCAGCCAATTGATTGCAAATTGTATATAAGTACTGAGACAAAAATGAGCTTCGACTAAACCGGTGTTGCCAAATAGATAGCTGTTAAAAAATCACTCTTAAGCACATTTAAGAGTCGTACTTCATTCGAGTTTATGCAAAATTCTCCTATAACAAATTATTTAAAAGACAAAAATATTCTACATCAAATTTCACTAAAAGCCAACAAAGAAGGTAAAACTCTGTATCCATTATACAGGGTGAGATAAAAAACTGCAACAAAGTCAAACGCCATAATTTTTAAATTTTTTTAATTCTATTGGATGAAAGCAAAAAATGTCGGAAACAGCATCAAATTTTAGAATAAGTTCAGATTTATTCGAATTGCTCACCTTTGGCACGAATTATGGCTTTCAAACGGCCAATGAAACCATCACACGTTGCCCGTTGCTCTGCCGTATTTTGACTCATTCCCGGTGAAGCGCTTGCTTGAGGTTATCGACACTTTGATATTTTTTAATGCCTGCCTTGCTATCCAAAATACTCCAGACACAATAGTCCAACGGATTGGTATCCGGAGATTTTGGTGGCCATTGTGCGCTAGAAATGAAGCGAGGAACCTCATTTTGTAACCATTCTTGGGTGGCGCGTGCTGAGTGCAATGGTGCTGAATCCTGTTAGAATGTCCAAGGTCTGCGACCAAAATGTTTGCGCGCCCAAGGCTTTAATACACCCTCCAGAATATTTTCGCGATTATATTCGGCAATTATTCTGATGCCACGGTGGATAAATATGAGCAGAGAGCGACCATCGGCTGTTATAGAGGCCCACACCACCACCATGCCCGGTGATTGAGTTTCTGGCGGCCAACCGAAGGTGCACATTTTCAGCTGACCTCCTTGCCAATTAAACACGATAATTTTATTTGTTTAGAAACTGCTGGACAACGAATGTTTTCTCATCGGACAAAACCAAATTCGACAGTTCATCACTTTCGGCCAAGCGAAGGAACTCTTTAGCTCTTTTGAGTCTATTTTCTTTTTGTTGCGGTGTAAGTTCTAGCTTTACCCCGAGCTCATTTTTCAATATTTGCCGAATGAAATATTGCGATATGTTCAGCTCATGAGCCATTTTTCGGCGACTGCGACGCGGATTTCGATCAAGTCGCTTCTTTACTTTTCGAACCAATTCTGCTAATGTAGCTGTTTTCTTCCGTCCACTTCCTTGACGTCGGGCTACGCTACCAGTATCACGGTAACGAGCGATGGTACGAGACACAAAAGATTGATGCACATTTAAATGCTGGAGTGCTCTAACGATAGCCAGTTGCGGTTTTCCAGCCAAATATAAAGCAATCACACTACCACGCTTGAATTTCATCACGAATAACTTTTTTTCTGGAAAATTCTCTCTAAAATGCTTTTGTGCGCTTGCCAACAATATAATGAGCTTTCACTGGAATAATTTTAACAGCTGTCGGACGAGTGGCTTAGAAATGACAGCAGTCTGAAGTTGACTGCAGTTTTTTAATCTCACCCTGTTTTTAGGTCCAATACGAAATGGACAATATTGACCCATTCTTTCGGAGCCTGTTTAGTGGAGAGTCAACAATTTGAATAAACATTACAGAAGTCAAAATATATCTCTCGGCAACATCGACTGATACTTTTTTTCTTATTTTTCCCTATTTTTGACTATTTCTTATTTTTGACTATTTCCCAACCGGTATCCTATTCTTTGTGCCGCATAATAATGACTAAGTGACCGTGGCAGTCGATTATGTATATTTTTACATACCTATATCTATGGCGATCGCACAACCGTTTCTCTCATCCATTTCAAATTGTTTCGAAAATACAATGAAACTAATGACGTTGAATGAAAGATTATTACGCCACCATCGCTACCGATCACTTGCATCTGTTCAAATATATTACAGAGAATTCGGTCTTTTTTACAGAAAATGCAATTTAGTGCACGCTCAACTATTCTAGCATTTAGATCGGGAAAAAATAACGCCAAACAGTTTCCCATATATATTTGAAATCGAATGAAGAGAAAATAGCAACTGTATACGGAACTATTTAGGTGAGATGTGCTTTTCTTAGAAAAAGAAACTGCAAAAGCTATTATGTAAAAAAAAATTATTACAAATTTTATTGCTTCAAACATTGACCTGGTTTTTGCAAGAGCCATGGCGACCTTGAACTTGTAGTAAAATAAACAAATTGTTCGGCGGTCGGTCAACTCTGCTGCTGCTGATGTTTATTGATTCTTGTCGTGTTACTAAAAATAGACGGTTTTTATACGCTATTAATTGGCGTTGTATCAAAATGTTTGTGCTCCGTGTTTTGTCATCTGGTGGTGGCGATGGCGTCTCTTTGTCTATTACAAGAAAATAATTGTGTTTTGAGCAAGGTATATATTATATTTTGGGTTTCCTCATTTGTAGACCTTCGAATTCCAAATTTTCAAATGATTGTACACAAAGAGTTGTCAAAATGTGTATATACCAATACTGGTCCTTCAACTTTGTTTTAAAAACTGGCTTTTGATGGCAGATTTGATTGATATGCTGTATTTTACATATGTGGTTCTTCCCAGGATTATTTATTACCATATATGATTGAATATTGTTTTAAGAACCAATGCCGGAAACTTGGAAGTGTCATTGATTTATAATTACATATTTTTAAATGGAACCTATAATTGAAACTACAGGTTGAGATGAAAAAACTGCAACCAACTTCAGGCTTCTGCATTTTGGTGAGAATTTTCCAGAAAAAAAAAGTTATTCGTGATGGAGTTCAAGCGTGATAGTGTGATTTCTTTATATTTGGCTTAAAAACCGCAAGTGGCTATCGTTAGAGCACTCCAGCATTTAAATGTGAACAAATCTTATGTGTCTCGTACCATCGCTCGTTACCCTGATACTGGTAGCGAAGCCCGACGTCAAGGAAGTGGACGGAAGAAAACAGCAACATCAGCAGAAATGGTTCGAAAACTAAAAAGCGACTTGATCGAAACCCGCGTCGTAGTGGCCGAAAAATGGCTCGAACATATCGCAATATTCCATTCGGCAAAAATTGAAAAATTAGCTCGGGGTAAAGTCATTGAAATTCCAAAAAGTGCAAGAACTTACACTGCAACATCAAGAAAATAGACTAAAAAGAACTAAAAAGTTGCTTCGCTTGGCCAAAAGTGGTGAACTGCCGAATTTGGTTTTCTCCGATGAGAAAACATTCGTTGTCCAGCATTTTGCAAACCAAAAAAAAAAAAAGATCGTGTTTATTTGCCAAAGAGGTCAACTGATAATGTGCACCTTCGGTTGGCCACCAGAACTCAAGCGCCGGCCATGGGATGGTGTGGACCGATGGTCGCTATCCGCTCGAATTAATCGACCGTGGCATCAGAATAAATGCCGAATATTATGGCGAAAATATTCTGGAGGGTGTATTAAAGCCTTGGGCACGCAAACATTTTGGCCGCATACATTGGACATTCCAACAGGACTCAGCACCATCGCACTCAGCACGCGCCACCAAGAATGCTTACAAAATGACGTTCCTCGCTTCATTTCCAGCGCACAATGGCCAACAAAATCTCCGGATACCAATCCTATTGTGTCCGGAGTATTTTGGAAAGCAAGGATGGCACAAAAAAATATCAAAGTGTCGATCACCTCAAGCAAGCGCTTCACCGGGAATGGGCCAAAATACCACAGAGCAACATTCGGGCAGCGTGTGACGTTTTCATTGGCCGTTTGAAGTCCATAATTCGTGCCAAACGTGAACAATTCGAATAAATCTAAACTTATTCTAAAATGTGATGCTATTTCCGACATTTCGACAATGTAAAAATTATGGCGTTTGACTTTGTTGCAGTTTTTTATCTCACCCGTGTTTCAATGGAAAGTTATTTAATCATATTTGATTGAATATTGTTTTAAGACGCCAAGGTTTCTTTGGACTACAATATTATTAAAAAAAAAAAACATTTTTCATTTCATTTGTATTTGGTCAGAAAGTGATTTGAGTTAAAAATTGCATTTGTTCAGTTCCAAAGTGGAAAATTCAAACCAAAGTGAAAAATAAAAACATTTGTTCCAGACCTGCTTGCCAACGATGCCTTTAACTATAAATGTCTTAAGGACCCAATGGAAAGCCTTTACATCGGCTCATCCATTGCTAAGGGGTTCATTGTCCTATGCGATTCTGTGGCCCACAAGTAGTTTAATACAACAGACATTAGAGGGTAAAAATTTGAGTAAGTAAAAAATATATTTTTTTAAATTCATTTATAGAAAATAAATCATATCTCTATTCAATTTTCAATAGAAACCTATGATTATATGCGTGCCTTAAGATTTGGCATCTTTGGCTCATTATATGTTGCACCCTCTTTATATGGATGGGTGAAGCTGACATCGGCTATGTGGCCACAAATGACATTACGCGTTGGACTTATAAAGGTAAGAAAAAATACAAATTATTATTGTTATTATTATTATTATCTCAATTATAATTATTTATTTGTTATAGGCCGCCATCGAACAATTATCCTATGGACCCTTCGCCTGTGCCAGTTTCTTTGCTGGCATGTCTTTGCTGGAAGGTAAATCAAAGGAGGAAGCTGTGCAAGAAGTACAAGATAAATTCCTACCAACATTTAAGGTAAGTTTTGCTCTACCCTTAAGCAGTGTATCGTGGATTCGTATTCTGACATTCCGTTTTTAATTACTCGAAATATTCATTGTAGTGTACAATTCTAAGATATTTTTAGTCGTCTATCTGTTATATCTTCCGAAGAATTTGAAATGAAGAACATAAATTTGACGTTAGTTTTATCTTAGATCAGTTTTCCCTTCCTCCTGATTTTGGTATTTTCTTTTTAATTTGAAAGACAATATTAAGCAGAACATTTTAAGATTAGTTATTTAAAGTTCGTAAAGAATACCATCCCCTGTGGCAGATATTTATCTCTATACTCGCAAGAACCTGCTACTTCGTCAGCGAAAAATCACAAATTTTAAAGTCAAAACTTATTCGTTCCAATAGTTCGTGTTAGTCTTTTTTAGTACACAAAATGCACATTTTTTCAGTTTGACAAAAACTTCATACATCGTACAAATTTTTCAGACTTTCAGGATTTTATTATTGTTATTAAGGTCTTTCCTTTTTTCGGAATGAATAATGGGAACATTTTTATCTTTTGCCAAAATTCTTCAAAATCTTTTATTTTGAAGTTTAACGAGGAGGATATTATTAAAACCGTTGCACAATGGACCCACAACCCACATTTTCCTTTCCAAAACTATTTTAACGGAAACCAAAAGTGACGTCAATGTCGAATTTCAAAATTACAGCTCTATCCCTTCACCCAACATCAAATGTAGTAACATTTAGTACGCATATCCAAAACAATCTACATCTCTTCATTCCAGACTTCAACAGTAAAATTACTTTTCGAACAATTATAGTACACATTTGCAAAACTGATTTTCCAATTTTGATTCTCATGCCAAATTTTAAGCTCCAATACCAAATAGTATAAATTTAGAAGTTTAGTAAAATGTAGAGTTTTTTGCAACCTTTAAGTCCAAATTTCTAAAAATAATTTAAAAGGACTGACTCTCCTTGCAAATTTCAGTAATCTAGCTCATTCCGTTTGTCCAATATAAAACAATACATTTTAGTAATTTTCATACCCTTTTAGGACGAATTTTCCAAAAATCAACTAATTTTTAATACATGTTAGTACTTTTCGTACCCTTTTAGTACGAATTTTCAAAAACCCAGCCTTATCACATGACTACATACCAAGATTGAACCTCATGCAAAATTTCAAAATTCTAGCTTCAGCCGTTTCGACTGTGCGTTAATTCTCAGTCAGTCAGTTATTTTACTACTCTGTTATATATACAGGGTGAGAAAAAAAAAAACTGCAGAAAAGCCAAACACCATAATTTATTTTTCTTTAATTTTATTGAATGATACGCCATCATTTTTAATTTTTTTTTAATTTTATTCAATGAAAGCGAAAAATGTAGGAAATAGCATCAAATTTTAGAATAAGTTTAAATTTGTTCGAATTGATCACCTTTGGCACGAATTATGGCCTTCAAACAGCCGATGAATCCGTCACACGCTGCCCGAAAGTTTCTCTGTGGTATTTTGGCCTGTTCCCGGCGAATCGCTTGCTTGAGGTGATGGACACTTTGGTATTTTTAGTGCCAACCTTGCTTTCCAAAATACTCCAGACACAATAGTCCAACGGATTGGTATCCGGAGATTTTGGTGGCCATTGTACGCTGAAAATGAAGTGAGGAACCTCATTATGTAATCATTCTTGGGTGACGCGTGCTGAGTACGATGGTGCTGCGTCCTGTCGGAATGTCCATGCTCTTCGGCCGAAATGTTTGCGTGCCCAAGGCTTTAATACACCCTCCAGAATATTTTCGCGATAATATTCGGCATTTATTCAGACGTCACGGTCGATTAATACGAGCAGAGAGCGACCATCGACTGTTATGGCGGCCCACACCATCACCATAGCCGGCGCTTGAGTTCTGGTGGCCAACCAAAGGTGCACATTTTCAGCTGACCTCCTTGGCAAGTAAACACGATCATTTTATTCGTTTACAAACTGCTGGACAACGAATGTTTTCTCATCGGAGAAAACCAAAGTCGGCAGTTCACCACTTTCGGCCAAGCGAAGCCACACTTTAGATCTTATGAATCTATTTTCTATCTGATGCGGTGTTCGGTTCTTGCACTTTTTGGAATTTCAATGGCTTTACCCCGAGCTCATTTTTCAATATTTGCCGAATGGATTATTGCGATATGTTCAGCTCACGAGCTATTTTTCGGCCACTGCGACGCGGGTTTCGATCAAGTCGCTTCTTTACTTTTCGAACCATTTCTGCTGATGTTGCTGTTTTCTTCCGTCCACTTCCTTGACGTCGATGGTACAAGACACAAAAGATTTATTCAAATTTAAATGGTGGAGTGCTCTAACGATAGCCATTTGTGGGTGTCTAGCCAAATAAAAAGAAATCACACTATCACGCTTGAATTCCATCACGTATAATTTTTTTCTGGAAAATTCTCACCAAAATGCTTTTGTACGCTTGTAAATAATATAATGAGCTGTCACTGGAATAATTTTAACAGCTGTCGGACGAGTGGCTTAGAAATGACAGCAGTCTGAAGTTGGTTGCGGGTTTTTTCATCACACCCTATAGTATTTTATAAGATTTATAATTATTCCAAATTTGGATTCCGTGTTGGGGAGATTCAGAAGGAATGGAAGAAAATTATCATATATTTCCACCAGATCTATGTTTGAGTAAAATATTGACATATACGAAGTGTGTACGCTTTGCGAGGGAGGTGCCAGATATATCCAATCTTCTCACTATGTTTGTATTGGTAAAAATATTGGAATGTACTAAGAATCGGTAGATTATTTCGCAATTTATGACTCGTTGTGGGGGAGATATCAGAAAGAATGATCCGTCCTAGCTTATTTTCTATGGATAGTAGAAATATTGGCAGGTTTGAATTTTGCACATTTTATACGAGTTATCATAATCCAATATTTTAACTCTTTTTGGGGGAGGTAGTAGAAGGAGTGAACCGACCTGGCACTGATACAAATATAAAGATTTGCAAAACTTGGGTAAACGTTTTCTCTTTCTATGAAGTCGCCTATTTTCTTTGAAGGAGAAGTAGTGGACGGATATTGCCCATCTCCATACTCGATCTATATTTGATAACAATATTCAAAATGTCCCAAGTTTTACCGGAATCGGACAGACATACGGATAGACGGACGCCGCTAGTTCAACTCCCAATGTCCTAAAATGGATTTCGTCTCAAGAAACCTAGGGTCAAAACCGTTATTTCGATAAGGCACGTTTTGGCCGTATTAAATAATATATAACCTCGGTAGCCATATAGCTAACTTACCGACAAGTTTCTTTGATGACCTAAATAATAAGCAATTGAAAATTGAATTGCTATTATCGATAATTTTCTTAAATTCTATCGTGAGCTACAAATTATGCACCAGATTTCAAATTTTGTGTAATTTTATGTCTTACTTTATCTTACAATTCGAAATGTCTTTAAAATGATCATTTCCAGTTAAGAATCGAAATTAATTTCCTCTTCCTTTCTTGCAGGTTGGCATTTGCATATGGCCTGTGTTACAGACCATTAACTTTTCCATGGTACCCGAAAGACATCGTGTCGTATTCGTAAGTATTTGTAGTTTAATGTGGACCACCTTTTTGGCCTACATGAAGCGAAAGGAAATGCATGAAAATGAAGAACAACAGGAAGACGATCTCACTACACAACACCTTGGCGATGTACAACGGGGGAAAGCGTTAACCCTGTAAAGGATAATCCTCCTAAAATTTAGAATAATCTTTAGTGCAATTTTTTGTTAGGATTTTAAGTGCTATTTTTTTAGTTTTAGGGTGTATTGTTAAATGTGTAAAAAATAAAATGCATTTATTTGATTTAAAAAAATAGTTTTTATACCCTACAACACTATGTGTTGGGGGTATTATAAGTTTGATTGGGCCAAAAATTATGTAACACCACGAAATATTGATTTCCCACATAGGAAAGTATATATGAATCTTCCTATCTCGCCGAGCTGAGTCGATCTAGCTATGTATGTCCGTCCGTCCGTCTGTCCGTCTGTCCATGTTAATTTGTAATCACTCTACAGGTCGCAATTATGGCCCGATCTTCACGAAATTTAGAATGGAGGTGGGGCTAGGGTCAGAATAGAACCCTATTTCTTTTGGAGATGATCGCCAAATGTTTAGGGGTTGAAATGGACCAAATACTGAAAAAATGTCGGATTTTGCAGTAGCTATACAGGTCGCAATTATAGACCAATCGACGCGGAATTTCGCACGTAGCTAGAGTTTAGGGCGGGGAAGAAGCCTACCAATTTGGGTGGTCATCGGATAATATTTAGCGGGTAAAATAGACCATATCTTTTGTGTTGAAAAAATTCAAAATTTTTCATTAAACCGCGAATATTTTAAATCCCGGCGAAATCACAAAGCCATGACAAGGTTACTTCTGATCTTTACATTGATGTTAAGATCCAAATAATCGAATATATAGCAAATACATGCGATATATAAGTCTATCAAAGAAGATATGCTTGAAAGATCTCATGTAAGTCGAGAACGGCAGAACTGATTTCGATAGTTCTCATTAATTCAGAATGGCCTCTTGGCAGGAAAGAAAAAACGTCTAAAAAATTGCATAAAAATACCTCTCTAAAGATGAAAATATTGATTTTGTAATATTTTCTCATATTTTTTCCATTTTGTCATATTTTTGGCATATTTTCATTTTGAATTAAACATTTGGTAATATTTCTACAGCTAACAAAACTAAGTAGTTAGGATATCAGGATATCATATACAGATCGCATTTTTGGCCCGATCCTTACGAAATTTTGCATGGGTATAAGATGAGGGTCAGAATAGAAGCCTACTCTTTTTGGAGATGATCGCAATATATTTAGGGGTTGAAATGGACCTAAAAACTGCAAAATTGTCAGCAGGTCGTAATTATCGCCCGATCCTCACGCACATTTGAATGGGGGTTACCGGACATTGCAAAAGCCAAGCAGTTTTGGATGGCTATCCAAAAATATTCAATGTGTAAAGGAGTTTGCCAACTTTTGTAGACAAAATACGAAAATGTCCATTCCAGTGACTTTTCGGAGAATTCACAAATACAGGAACGACGCACTTCTGACTATTTCGTTAAGGCTGATTTCGTTGAAGAATATAGTCAAATGTCTGTATCTCATATAGATGCGTTTCAGTCAAAATCAATAATAAATGTTAATCTTTTGCCACTTCTGAGAGATTATAGGTCTTTGGGAAATATTGGTTCCAGATCTAGGAAGACCATTTACCAATAAATTAGGAATGAGAAAATTAGTTTAAGTTGCTATTATTCGAAAATTAGAGAACGAAACCTGATGGTTTTCTTTTATTATCTGTCACAATATCTTGTGGAATTCTTTCGACTACCTCGCCTATATAAACTGTATCATTTATTATAGTGTTGTAGGGTATTCAACGGTCGGCCCCGCTCGACTGTAGCCTTTGCTTACTTGTTTTTTTATAGAATGTATTTATAATTATTATTTAATAAGTTTTTTGATCCAATCAATGTAATAAGAAATATTTGTAAAAACTCCTGGTGTTTGGGCACAGGGTTTAAGACTCCATGATACCACACCAATTTGTTTATTGTTCAACATAAGTGGCCCGCCCGAGTCTCCAGAACATTGGCCCTTACCATGGCCGCCAGCACATAGATTTGTTTTGTGTATAACCGATAATAGCGTCAAACGACATTCGGCCAATGTTATGGTTTTCAAGGAGACTTTATGTAGACGTGACGTAAGGGAACCCATGGTCTAAAAGAAATTAGAATTATTTTTAATATTCTGATATTTAGTTATTTAATTCGAATATAAGTTAAATAAAATTCAAATCTCGACCTCAATTTTATTTAACTTATATTTTAAATTTTTTTAAATGTTTTTATTGAAATTTTTCGAAACTCACCTCATTTAAACCCCATCCTATTAATATCACCTCTTTATTTTCATAGGCTGTGGTGGGATCCTCCACCAATTGTACATGCCATATGCTGGGATAAATTGGCAATGGAGTTTCCAATTTCAATAGGGCAATATCATGTATTGTCACAGTGGGATTATAGCCTTCATGTTTAACAATCCGTTCGACATTTTTGTATTGGGGATTAAGGGGTTTAAGTTCATTGCTGCCATATTGTATCACCAGATCCTTTGGTGATCTGATGAATGTAAAACAATGGGCTGCCGTCAATATCCATTGGTAATTTAATATTGTCCCAGAACAAAAGTGTTGTTTATCCTTCGCCGAACGTAAGGAGACCTGAAATGGGAATTAAGCACAAAATTTCAAAATTTCCCTTGCTTTTATGCATATACAGGGTGAGATGAAAAAACTGCAACTAACTTCAGACTTCTCTCATTTCTAAGCCACTCGTCCGAAAGCTGTTAAAACTATTCCAGTGACAGCTCATTATATTGTTTACAAGCGTACAAAAGCATTTTGGTGAGAAAAGTTATTCGTGATGGAATTCAAGCGTGATAGTGTGATTTCTTTATATTTGGCTGAAAAACTACAAGTGGCTATCGTTAGAGCAGTGCAGCATTTAAATGTGAATAAATTTTTTGTGTCTCGTACCATCGCTCGTTACCGTGATACTGGTAGCGTAGCCCAACGTCAAGGAATTGGACGGAAAACGGCAACATCAGCAGAAATAGTTCAAAAAGTAAAGAAGCGAATTGATCGAAATCCGCGTCGCAGTGGCCGAAAATGGCTCGTGAGCTGAACATATCGCAATATTCCATTCGGCAAATATTGAAAAATGAGCTCGGGGTAAAGCCATTGAAATTCCAAAAGGTGCAAAAACTTACACCGCAACAGAAAGAAAATTGACTCAAAAGAGCTAAAGAGTTGATTCGCTTGGCCGAAAGTGGTGAACTGCCGAATTTGGTTTTCTCCGATGAGAAAACATTCGTTGTCCAGCAGTTTGTAAACGAACAAAACGATCGTGTTTACTTGCCAGAGAGGTCAGCTGAAAATGTGCACCTTCGGTTGGCCTCCAGAACTCAAGCGCCGGCCATGGTGATGGTGTGGGCTGCCATTACAACCGATGGTCGCTCTCCGCTCGTATTAATCGACCATGGCATCAGAATAAATACCGAATATTATCGCGAAAATATTCTGGAGGGTGTATCAAAGCCTTGGACACGCAAACATTTTGGCCGCAGACCTTGGACATTCCAACAGGACTCAGCACCATCGCACTCAGCACGCACCACCCAAGAATGGTTACAAAATGAGGTTCCTCGCTTCATTTTCAGCGCTCAATGGCCACCAAAATCTCCGGATACCAATCCGTTGGGGTATTGTGTCTGAGGTATTTTGGAAGGTTGGCACTAAAAAATACCAAAGTGTCGATCACCTCAATCAAACGCTTCGCCGGGAATGGGCCAAAATACCGCAGGCCAACATTCGGGCAGCGTCTGACGGTTTCATTGGTCGTTTGAAGGCCATAATTCGTGCCAAAGGTGACCAATTCGAAAAAATCTAAACTTATTCTAAAATTTGATGCTATTTCCAATATTTTTTCTTTCATTTAATTAAATTTAAAAATGCAAAAATTATGGCGTTTTATTTTCTTGCAGTTTTTTACCATTACCCTGTATAATATTCAATAGGAAAAATGGCCCAATTTAATTCAAACGCCGAATATTTGAAATTCCTTTCATTTTAAACAAATTCATAAAAATTCTCTATTAGCTTGCTTTTTTAAGTCAAAACTTTTTTCAAAAACATTTATTGCAACAATTTCTTCAACAATGCCAAATTTTTGGGACCAATTAAGTCACCACTCAATATGCCATCAATGCCGCTAAGACCCTCCTGGCTATCACCGAATTCCTCCTCATCTTCGGCATCCAATATTGTTTCCAAAATCCAGGCAACATAGGCTGAGACTTCGGTGAAAACACCCGGATATGGATAGACAGTGCAGGGTTTACGTGACCATGAGACAATGCCAACTTGAGTGCGATTCACAATCAAAGGGCCACCAGAATCACCGCTACACTGGCCTTTACCACCCTCGGGGACACCGGCACACAGATTTGTGGGATGAATATCGATACCATGTCGACGGCTACATTCTTCATCACTGAAAATTTGCAAATCTACTTTTTGGAGTTGTTTTTGTACCACACCACCAGTCTGTGGAGAAGAATATTATTCAATAGAAGCTTTGGTGTGTTATGTGTCCCGATCACAGGACTTACCGCATTAAGACCCCAACCAATTAAGGTGGCCGGAGTTTCCGGCTCACTTGCTGAATTATAATCCGGCAAACGTATGCCCACAAAATCCTTATTCACACTGGCCGGTTTGTCCAATCTCATGAGGGCAATATCATGGATATACTGATTCGAAGGATCATAGCCTTCGTGAACAAAGATCTTTGTAATATTGGCAATATTGGTGGAATTTCGATCCAATTCATTGCTACCATATTGGATATTGACTTGATGCGGTTCGGCCTTTACCACACAATGGGCGGCGGTCAGGAGCCAAACACGATTCAACATGGATGCACCACAAGAATGGCGACCCGAAGAGGCACGTCTCAGGGAAACCTTAACGTATTCTGTTCGTTATTTACTTTTTCATAATTTTTAAAATACCAAACTTACCATATACGGAAACTCCCCGGGTAATGCTAGGCTACCATTCACAATTTTGGTATTAAACGCCACCGCACAACTGAACAAAGCCAAAACGCTTAAAATCCGCAAATAATCCTTATTCGTAATTGTCATGTTTCCACTTCCGATTACACACAACGTTTGATGTTTGTTGAGTTTCAAACTCATGTTTTTAAATATAAATTGAAATTAAGCCGTAGAAATAAATGGAGTTTTCTCCACTCCCTGCTGTTTTCATTAACATTTGGAGTTTTTCACCTACGACGATAACCGATAAAGTACGTCAATGTAAAGTATTGGTTCTTTTTTTCTGTCCTACAGTGAAAACATCCCCGCCATGTCTACAAAATCAAGGTCAATGTTTGTTGTCGATAGTTATTTATTTTTGCAAAACCAGGCGATTCAAACGCATCTTCATGAGGGTATTTAATAAAACATTTTCCTATTTCAGTATTTTCACTTTTGTTTCTCTAAAAAGAGTCAGAAAAACCTACAAATCGACAATGTCAACATTTTTGCTAAAATTTAAAGCCATACTTACCAAATATCCCGTCACCAGGGGTATGGTTTCATACAGTTTGATATGGCCCACCAGCAGTTTGATACAACAGACGTTTGAGAACAAAGAGTGGGGTAAGTATTTCCAACAAAGTGAATCCGGCGGATGGTTAAAACTTAAATAAAAAACAAGTAAAGAAGCAGCAAGTTCGGCCGGACCGAAATTTAAATACCCTCCACCATTTAGAACAAATTAGGAAATATTAAAAAATATATATTATATAAATATAAATTTATAAATTCTGTTATAATCTTAAAAATACCGAATATAGCCGTTATATTGGGGTCGATATGAAGACGCGAACCTGCGAAGGCAACATTCGAAACATGAAAAAAATTCGGTGAATAATGTAGCTAAAATAGTCAAAGTGCCGAATATGGGGAGGTACTTATTATATGGGACCTATACCAAAACTTGGGCCTGCACACACAACTTTCTGCCTTAGTCTGTGGTATCCATTACGAACGTCAAAGACCAAATTTGAAACAATTCCGGTGAATAATGTCGTTAAAATCATCAAAGTACCGAATATCAGGAGGAACCGTTATATGGGGGCTATGCGAAGACGAGGACCTGCACAGACAATTTTTTGTCTCAGGCTGTAGCATCCATTACGAACTTCAAATCCCAAACTTGAAACAATTCCGATGAATAATGTCGTTAAAATCATCAAACTAGCGAATATCAGGAGGTTCCGTTATATGGGGGCTATGCGAAGACGTGGACCTGCACAGAAAATTTTTTGTCTCGGGCTGTAGTATCCATTACGAACTTCAAATACCAAATTTGAAACAATTCCGGTGAATAATGTCGTAAAATCATCCAAGTACCGAATGCCAGGAGGTACCGTAATATGGGGGCTATGCGAAGACGTGAACCTGCAGAAACAATTTTTTTGTCTAAGGCTGTAGCCACCATTACGAACTTCAAATACCAAATTTGAAACAATTCCGGTGAATAATGTCGCTAAAATCATCAAAATACCGAATATTGGGAGGTACCGTTATATGGAGGCTATACGAAGACGTAGGTACTAATTTAGTACTAGAGTACTAATTTTTTTTTTCATAGGCCCATTACTGATTCTAAATACGAAATTTGAAACAACTCCGGTGAATAATGTCCCTAAAAACGCCAAATTATCAAATATCGGGGGTACCGTTGTATGGGGGCTATACGGTATCGTAGGCCTATATATTATTTCAGATGGTAAAGTAGTCACGAAAAACTCCTCGTGTAGAATTTCAGACAATTCCATTGACAATTTTGGCTAAAGTTATCAAAATACTGAATATCGGGAGGTACAGTTATATGGGTGCTATACGATATCGAAGACCTATATGGACAATTCTCTTCCAGGAGGTAAAGTACTCAGAAAGAACTCCTTGTGTGTATTTTCAGACAATTTCATTGAAAATGTGGCTAAAATCATCAAAATACCAAATATCGGGGGTGCCGTTGTATAGGGGCTATACAATATCGTAGATCTTTATAAGCAACTTTCTTTCAGGTGATAAAGTAGTCACGAAGAACTCCTTATGTAGAATTTCAGACAATTCCATTGAAAAATGTAGCAAAAATCATCAAAATACCGAATATCCGGGGGTATAGTTATATAAAGGCTACACGATTTCATGAACCTATATAGACAATTCTCTTCCAGGGGGTAAAGTGCTCAGAAAGCACTCCTTGTGTTTATGTTTATTGTCTAAAATTATTAATTCGATGAGTTACAACCGGAATGACGAACTTAATATACCCTCCATACTATGTATGGTGGAGGGTATAAAAAGTTGACCCATTCAAGGTGTCACCCACTTTTGCGATAAAAGTTCACTACTTGCCGCAGAATTCGTCGAAATTCGTAACCTCGCCCTCCAAAATTGGAAAAAGGTAAGGAATGATGCTACCTTTCAAATTTAGCCGTGAAGAAAGAGTTCCTCATTAAAACGTTTACTACCTTCCATGGTAGAAGAATACAGGTAGATGCATCAACGCTAGGAAACATAGATAAGTCAGCATTTTTAAAATGTTTTGTCAAAAATAAATATATTTTTATATGTTTTCTTATGCGATGCCAAGCCGAGAATATTATAAAATGTATTCTTTTTAACAGATTTTACAAATTTCAATAATTTTTCATTCAAAAATTTGAATTCCAAAATTGCTTTGATAGTTCATTGTCCCAACAGCTGTATCGATGCGACTACCTATATTCTTCTACCATGCTACCTTGTTTGTATTTTTATTTTCAAGATAATTTCAGTCAATACAACATTTTTCTTCTAGGGCATTATGACTGGTGGCGTTGTTTACGTTTCAGTTTGTATGGTGGTCTCTTCGTGGCTCCAACATTATATGGATGGATAAAAGTAAGTAGCAATGTCTCCACACACACAACAAAATACAATTTTCCCTAATTAAATTGTATTATCATTTTCAGATATCATCAGCAATGTGGCCAAAAACATCTCTCAGGACAGCGGTGATGAAGGCTGCCGTTGAAACAATATCATATACACCGGCAGCTATGACATGTTTTTATTTCATTATGAGTTTGTTGGAAATGAAGACCATAGGTGAAGCATCTGCGGAAGTTAGCAAGAAATTCCTGCCCACTTTTAAGGTATGTGAATTACAATTTCTTGTTTGAATATTAATTTTGATCCATGGCTCTTTCAGGTCGCTGCCTCAATATGGCCAATTGTAGCCACCATTAACTTCTCCCTGATCCCAGAGAAGAATCGTGTTCCTTTCATCAGTGTTTGTAGTTTAATATGGACATGTTTTCTGGCCTATATGAAGCATTTGGAACATCATGAAGTCGATGATGAAGAGAAATTTATATTGGCCAAGAAAAAAGAAAAATAATTGTATTATAACGTATTATACATAGATAGGTTTAAAAAGTTGTTTTGTTGTTATGTGGTGTCGCCTAGTAGCTAGAAAATTATAGTCACTTATTTTGTTTATTTTTTAAGCTTATCATTAATAAGAAATGTGTGTAATTAATATAACAAACATTTTTGTTAAAACCTCTTCTAGTTTTGCAATTTGTTTCGATATCGTAAAGAGAAAATCGGCAGTTCTGGGACAGACCAATTATTAATTATAATTCGCAACAATATTTTTCGATGTTTAATAATGTTATCCAATGCTATAATAAAAGTCCATAAAACATTGAATTCAACAATTGCAATTACATAATAGTGGAAGTGCTCATTTCGACCCGCATTCGAATAAAATCAAATAATTGTTTCCTCAACTCGGCATTGGTGTTCATCATCATATACATTCATACAAATAAACGTATAAATGTTAATAAAAACAGCGCATAAACTTTATAGAAAATAAGGTCAATATGCACAAAAAAGTGTAAGTTGATACAACACCAACATGTGAATGAATGTCTTTTTTTATCATTTTTAAGTTGCATGAATTAAAACATTTGCTTTCGGTCTGCAAAAAATTTATTTTGGTTTCATAGTTAGTATGTATTTTCTTAAAATAGGTATTGTTCCTAGACAATTATTTAAAAAAAAATATTCCATAATCAAATTTTTGATGACAATTTATTTTCCAAATCAAGAATGTTATTTTTGTAAAATTTTTCGGTGTAATTCCACGAATTTTTATTTTCAAACATATGATATGTATACTGTTTTCCATGTTTAAGAAAACCAAAGGATTTCAATTGCCAATTTTGTTGCATATACATCAAAAATCCTCTTAATGGAGGTTTAGCCGTTGAAAGGCTTTATTCAAAATTCCTTAAAATTTAAAAATGAATAATAATATCATACATATAAATTCCTTGAAGGATTTGGGTTCATAATACCCTATATACCTATTCAAAACCACCCAATTCAATAAACTATTAAAAATAAATTCAAAGTGTAATCAAAAAATAACTGATTGTTTTATAGTTTGAAAGCCACTGCACGCATAGACCCATCAACAGTGTTGCATTTTTAATAGTAACAAATAATACCTCCATACTACAACTCTATTTTAGGGTGTTGTTTTTCTTTCTCCATCACTCATTTGACATTTGACGACGCTGAGTTAATTTTCTTTTGAGCAGCTACGAAACATTTCTAAACAATTTTAGTGTAATTCATGGTTTTCCAATAAAATTAGTATTTATTTTTTGCAATAAATAGAAAAAGACAAGAAAATGCATAATTTTCGTAAACAACAATCAACAGATACGACCGATAATGGAGTGGAAAAGAATGATTACCCTCGTGCCACAAGTGAGTCAAACCGTGCAATGGTATTTTGTTTGTATAGATGTGGCTGCCGCTGCGACAGCGAAAGAAAACAAAACAATTTAGGGAGTGACACTTTTTTAAAGACATCTTAAAGAAATTAATGGAGGCATTCCCCTCTGTTTTAAGAGTCTTTTTTATATACCTTTTTAGTTTTTTATTGCTAATTATGTGTATTTTTCAGATGGTGTGGTGTTTGGAGCCATAATAACCTTTGTCGGCTATTTCTTTATGATGATGTCTTTCTGTTCACCCTATTGGATTGAATCGTATGAGGAGACCCTCAGCAGCTTTAAGAATATGGGCTTGTGGCAATATTGTTTTAAGGATTTTACATATCCCAACTATCAAATACCACGTAAATTTAATGGATGTCACAATATATTCAGCTATGTAAGTATGGAAGGGAGAGTAGGTGTGTTATTTGAATTTTATTATGGTAGACTAAAATAGTTTTCGGGGGAACATTTTTTAATTGGATTAAAAACGTTTTTTTATGTATGTCCTAATTCCATGCGGTTGATGTTGACCCGAATCGACAAAAAAGTGCTGTAATAAAAGTGAAATATAAAGTGATAGACAGTTGCTAGAACAATAGCCAGGCCGTTACATATGTCTGTCGGGGTGACTTAACCCCCATCATTTAAAGAAAAAAAGAGGGTTAATTTGTATGTCGATGCCACCATGGCGTCTATGGAATGTCCAAGTTTCTGACACCATATAGAAAGTAAGATGTAGCTGCAGACAAATATTGGCAAGGGGCCCACCTTCGAATCCTAGTCTTATTTCTTTGACTAAAGAATTCCATATTATTTTTATAGGTTAAAAGATGCTTATTAGTACAAGGGTTGAAGTCATATTCACGTCAATGGGAAACCCAAATTTACGGGACCTTCATATACAATTTTGTCATTCCAGATTCTTATCTTTGTTTTAGCAAAATTAATGTGTTGTGTACCTTATTCCGTTTTGTCTTAAGTCTTTATTATTCAATAATCAATTTTATATATGAGACCCTACAATTCGCTCTATTTTTTTAGCTTTAGAATTTGTATTGAAAGATTTGTTCCTTCGTAATATTTCCAGTAGGTATAGACCACTCGCAAAGATGATTGATATTATAGCGAGTTATAAAATATTTGTATGATCTGAAGTTAAACTGTCTCGTATATTGATGGTTGGTTATTACAGGAAAATAAGGGTACCGACATTTTTTGTTATTTTTTGAATTCTAGAAATTGATTATCTATAGAAATATGTTCACTTAACTATTTTACTCCTTATATGATTTGTTAAACTTTGCTTCCTTTATTTCAGGAATACTATGTGATTCGTGAATGGCTCCTTCCTGGTTGGTTGATGTCTGTACAAGCATTTGTTACCTTATCCTTCATTATTGTCTTCTTCATATTGGTTATTTTGGCATTAACCATTATTCGTTTACCATTGAAATTTGTTTTGCAATATGAATGGTTGTTGGTACGCATTTCCTACTTCGGAACCACAATTTCATGTAAGTTTGTGTCTAGCAAAATAATTCTAACACTTTATGTCAATAATATCTTTATTTTTCCTCAGCTGTCTTCATGTTCTTGGCTGTATGCATCTTCGGCGGCTGCGCCTATCGTCGTGACTGGCTAATGTATCCGAAATTCAATGTGCTCGGCTGGTCATATGCCTTGGCTGTTGTCACTTTCATTCTTTTGGGTATGGCTGCATTGATCTTCCACCGTGAGGCACGTGAAGCTTACGAGATTCGTGGTGAACAAAAGAATTTGGTTATGCAAATGGAAATGCAAGAACCTGGCTATCATGCTGACCGTCATCATCATAGTACATCAAGAAGTTTACATGGCTACATATAGACAGAAGAAGAGAGAGTCATCTATACTACATTCACTGTCTACATGTTCTTACGTACATGCATATCAGCAACATACATTCCATAGTAGCATTTTGTCAATGTTTCTTTAGTTTGTTTTTTTTTTTCTCATCAGACTCGAAGCTTATATTATTCGAATCTCATTTTACGAAAACCGTCCAATTTATTTTATATATACACAATTAATTATTTTTCTAAAACACCGATAATAACTACGATCATTAACAAAACCACAACACAAAGAAATACCTACAAAAGTGCCTTAGTATTGTAGTTAAAGTATATAAATATTTACTGCGTCGAAATACATATCGTTTTTGTATTCCACACAAAGATATTGTAACGTTTATACAATCCGTCCACAATATTATCTGGCATTCTCGAATAAGTTTTATTTTACAATATTTTCAATTTTTATACAATAAATATTATACACTTCAATGTCGTAATTGTACCAAAAGATGTGTGTTTGTATTTTTAGTACATTTCTAATTATAATTTAGGGTTATACAAATTAAAGGAAGCACATGCAAATGGATCATTTGTCGGCAAGTTTTAAATTACAGCCTGTTCCACGATCTCGAAAGAAAATTTGTGCGAACGAAGGCAACTCACTCACTTTCGCATAAGAATGCGTTCCACTAACTTTCGTTCTTTCTTTCGCATAGCCTTACGTGATTCAGTGTTGCAAAATATTTTTTTGGCAAAATTAATCGCGAAATAAGGCAAAAAAAGCGCCAAATGTCTGATTTAAACGCGAAAAAGCAGCAGTGGCTCTGTCTCAACTGACAGTTCAGTTGTAAACAAACAAATTGTAAATAAACAAACAAAATAAAATTTCTAGTGATTGTGTTTAGATTATTTGTGTTCTTAAAAAAGAAAAAAATGAATATTTCTGTAGCCCTATTTTTTATGGATGATGAGGAGGAGGTTCAAATTGTGCCACGGAGGCATTTAAGAGATGCTTCGAATTTATTTGAAGTACCTAACAACCAGTAAGTATGATTGTATTTTTACATTTTTGAAATAATAAAAAAATGATTTTTTCTAGGTTTGTGTCTTCCAGTGGTCTTCATGGGATTGCCTGCTGCTTCCAAAAATTGGCACTCCTCTGGCGAACTTAGGATTCTCCCCCATATACTCAACTAGTGCCCGCAGCTGTGTAGTTTTTTCGTGCTGGAATTGAGAAAATAAAAAAATATATATTTGTTGTTCACAGATTAAATTGCATTTATTATTTTTACTTACATTTTTCTTTCCATTTTCAATCAAGGAATGTTTATGTTAAAACAATTTTCCTTAATTTTTATCATTCGACAGCAAACACACAAGTGACTGATTTTGACATTTGTGTTCGCATGCGTACGAAAGAAAAAAGATAGTGGAACGCAAAATTACACTGAAACGCTTACGTTTTCGTTCGCTTTGATTTTCGTGCAAATTTTCGTTCTGATGGATTTTAGTGGAACGGAAATCAGCTGTTTGTCGTGTAAAAGTTGTGCGAACGTGTTCTTTCGACATCGTGGAACAGGCTGTTAATGTTTGTGTGCTCCTGAAACTATGCCTCGAAATTCATAATATTAAATTCATAGTAGCGGTAACACTGGCAACGACATCGGGATAGCGCCATCTATTGATTTACATGATCCAAATGAGGCAAATATTTTTGAAGGCCAAATTTTGACATGTCTTAAGTTTTGAATTGCTCATTTTAAACGAAAAACTAGAAATCTGTGTAAAGCTTGTTTATAACGATTTAATAATTGATACAATTCTTATCGCAATATAGGTCTAGGTCTTGATACAGACCGAATTTAGCGTGGCAGAGTGACATTTTCAAAGGGAGTGAAATCGTTTCCCAACAAAATACAATGTAGAAGAATTTTTAACATAGCCTCCTTTTACCAGTACCGACCGGAATGACATTAATTTGATGTTTTATCGCAAAAAAAATGAGAAATAATATGTTTTGTCCAATAAAACGGAAACCAGATAATATTTTGTAATTTAGGGATCCAAGCTTAATTGTATGAATTGAAGTAGAATGGCAAGTGTCATTAATATACAGGTTGAGATAAAAAAAAAACTGCAACAAAGACAAACGCCATAATTTTTTTTTAAATTTATTGAATGAAATGTCGGAAATAGCATCAAATTTTAGAATAAGTTTACATTTCTTCGAATTTGTCACCTTTGGCACGAATTATGACCTTCAAACGGCCAATGAAACCCCCACACGCTGTCCGAATGTATTCTTGATCATTCCCGGCGAAGCCCTTGTTGAGGTGATCGACACTTTGGTATTTTTTAGTACCAACCTTGCTTTCCAAAATACTCCAGACACATTAGTCCAACGGATTGGTATCCGGAGATTTTGGTGGCTATTGTGCGCTGGAAATGAAGCGAGAAACCTCATTTTGTAACCATTCTTGAGTGCTAAGTCTGCGACCAAAATATTTGCGTGCTCAAGGCTTTAATACACCCTCCAGAATATTTTCGCGATAATATTCGGCATTTATTCTGATGCCACGGTCGATTAATACGAGCGGAGTGTGACCATCGGCTGTTATGGCGGCATACACCATCACCATGGCCGGCGCTTGAGTTCTGGTGGCAGCAACTCTTTAGCTCTTTTGAGTCTATTTTCTTACTGCTGTGGTGTAAGTTCTTGCACTTTTTTGGAATTTCAATGGCTTTACTTTCGAGCTCATTTTTCAATATTTGGCGAATAGAATATTGCGATATGTTCAGCTCACGAGCCATTTTTCGGCCACTGCGATCGATCAAGTCTCTTCTTTACTTTTCGAACCATTTCTGCTGATGTTGCTGTTTTCTTCTGTCCACTTCCTTGACGTCGGGCTACGCTACCAGTATTACGGTAACGAGCAATGGTACGAGACACAAAAGATTTATTCACATTTAAATGCTGGAGTGCTCTAACGATCATCGCACCCTGTAATTGTTGTCTCCATACTGCTGAACCAAATTATGATGTATGTAAAACATAACTAAGAAAATAACTTTCAATATAGACTGATTTGCAGTTGAGTCAACTTGTACTGGGTACAGCATACCTCTTTGTGCCAACATTTTAGTACTTTTGTACTAAATGGTGTAGGGTATATAATCTAATCTATCTACATGATAAATATTGACCATAAGAAATTGGGAAATACCGTACTACCAAAAAAAAAATCCATTATTTTGCGTCATGACTCAGAATTGCAACTTCTAGCAAGACTTGGTTTTATCACTCAACTCTCTGGAACTTCAATAACATATATATATATTCTCTTCACTCAAAATAAAAATATCAGATAAGATTCCAATATTTTCTTAGTAGCAATGGAGGAGGATGTTTTGCCATTGATTAGTTTCGAACCTTATCATATCAATATTCTGACATATGATGGCAAAAAAAAGAGAAGAAAAACCGAAAATAATATTTAACGTTTATAGGTTAGCACAATTAGTTAGTCGAATAGCATAAAGCAAAGCAAACTGTTCGGTTGTCGAAGTCTTAAAAAAACGCAAACGCGATATTGAATGGTGTGCAATTAATTTTGATATAAACAACAAACAAACGAACGAAAAAATGTGGAAATTTGCTTATTTATTGGGTTTTTTGTGTACAGCAAGTATGTGAATCTTTGTGATAAGTGATTTACTATCATTATTAATGCTAGAAATTCCAATGAAATTAATTAAAATGGTTTCAAGATATAAAAGTCATAATGTTATAATCATAAAAATGAACAAAGTTCTATATAAAAATTGAGATATAAAATAAGAAATATATATTTTTGAAAGTTATAAACTTATAAAAATAAGATTATAAATAAATGTTGGGCTTTTAAGATAAAGAGGAAAACCGTTCTAAAATTTGTAAAAATATCAATTACATGACTTAAAATATATCGATTCTTTTTAAATTAAAATCGGATAATATTTTGAGAAATCGTGTTTTGATGTTTTATGAACATAATTAGCAGTCGAATGTGTGATTTTAAATCACTAGTTTGCATCAATATCAATGTTGACCATTTCTACCTTACGTTGATACAATTTGGTGAATTTTTCTTTTCGCTACAGTCATTTGATAAAGAAAAAATCTTTTTTTGTGATATGGTAAGGTTTCAATATAATATCCATATCATACCAATGATCCCTATTAATACCAACTACAACATGAGCTAACCCTTTTGCAATGCAAATTTGTTCGTACATTATTTGTCGTCGCATATTTGTGATTAAAAATGATTCATTTATATTGTCAGCGACAAATCACCGTGTCTTTCGTATGGTAATGAAAATTTTTGAACGGATGTATTATTAATTGATGCCTAATAATCAATACAGTGTCACAATAAAAAATATTATCTCGTCGTAGCTGTCGCTATCTTCAAAACATTGTTTTTTAGATAAAACGTCTGAATCATTTGCTGGGAGAAGCAAGAATAGAATATTTACATAGATAAGGGCAAATATTAGGGTGGTTTTTGTTTACTTCGTAAAACAGGGGGAGATGAAAAAACTGCAATCAACTTCATTTCTAAGCCACTCGTCCTATAGCTGTTAAAATTATTCCAGTGACAGCTCATTATATTGTTTGCAAGCGTACAAAAGCATTTTGGTGAGAATTTTTCAGAAACAAAGTTACTCGTAATGGAATTCGAGCGTGACAGTGTGATTTCTTAATATTTGGCTGGAAAACCACAAGTGGCTATCGTTATAGCACTCCAGCATTTAAATGTGAATAAATCTTTTGTGTTCGCTCGTTACCGTAATACTGGTAGCGTAACCCGACGTCATGGAAGTGGACGAAAGAAAACAGCAACATCGGCGGAAATGGTTTGAAAAGTAAAGAAGGGGCTTGAACTAATCCTGCGTCGCAGTGGCCGAAAAATCGCTCGTGAGCTGAACATTCGGCAAATATTGTAAAATGAGCTCGGGATAAAGCCATTGAAATTGCAAAAAGTGCAAGAACTTAGACCGCAACACAAAGAAAATAGACTCAAAAGAGCTATAGAGTTGCTTCGCTTGGCCGAAAGAGGTGAACTGACGAATTTGGTTTTCTTCGTCTCCGATGAAAAAACATTTGTTGTCCAGCAGTTTGTAAACAAGCAAAATGAGCGTGTTTAATTACCAAAGAGGCCAGCTGTTAATGTGAACCTTCTGTTGGCCACCAGAACTCAAACGCCGGCCATGGTGATGGTGTGGGCCGCCATAACAGCCGATGGTCGCTCTCCGCTCGTATTAATCGACCGTGGCATCAGAATAAATGTTGAATATTATTGCGAAAATATTCTGTAGGGGGGGTATTAAAGCCTTGTGCACTCAAACATTTTGGCCGCAGACTTGGACATTCCAAAAGAACTCAGGACGCGCCACCAAAGAATGGTTACAAAATGAGGTTCCTCGCTTCATTTCCAACGCCCAATGTCCACCAAAATCTCCGGATAGCAATCCGTTAGACTATTGTGTCTGAAGTATATGGAAAAGCAATGTTGGCACTAAAAATTCCAAAGTGTCGATCACCTCAAGCAAGCGCTTCGCCGGGAATGGGCCAAAATACCGCAGAGCAACATTCGGGCAGCGTGTGACGGTTTCATTGGCCATTTGAAGGCCATAATTCGTGCCAAAGGTGATCAATTCGAATAAATCTAAACTTATTCTAAAATTTGACGCTATTTCCGACATTTTTTGCTTTCATTCAACAAAATTAAAAAAAAAAAATATTAAAAATTATATCGTTTGACTTTGTTGTAGTTTTTTATCTCACCCTATATATGTATTCAGGTGATTCCTGTTATTCGGCTGGTTATTCGGGGATTTTTATCCTCAAAGATTGACTTAACATAAAATATCATTTGAGGACAGCACATGAACTAACAGCTCCAAAAAAGATAAAGGGTTCCAAATATTTATTTGTTTATGTTTACGCTTCAGATAAGATATATTAAATTCGACCAAAAAACGCAGTAAATAATTGGTCTGTTGGTCAGAATTGCAAGAATATAAAAGTTTATACTACGATATCCGTTTTTCACTTTATGATATCGGAAACAAATTGCAAAACTAGTAACTTCTTGGAACAGATCTAATATATAATTTATTATTTTTTATAAAATATGTCACTCGTCATACGAAAATATTTTAGATATGAAAATAAATTTTATTTGAAAAGTGACAAGCTCGGGTACGTCAGGAAAGAGTTGCCATATTCGTTTTAACAAATGAGACTAACACCATTGTTTTGCATTGAAAAAATGCATTTGTTATCAGATATCGAGCAAACAGACATCCTTAATATTAAGACCTGTTTCTGTATGTTGGTGCGAAAAAATTTTATTTCCTTTGGTTACATTGTGATTATATTGAATTTTCTAAAAAAAATTAGTACTTTATAGATTACTTTTTAAACACAAATTTTAATATGGCCCGCTGTGATAGAAATTTGATAGCAGCAAATCTAATGTCAAACCATAAGCTTGATGTATAAACATATCTGTCGAAAAATTGATTGATACATTTTAACCGATTTTACTATCAAAAATTACGGACATAAATTAATTGATAATTGTTTGCAAGACGAAACAGTAATCTTTATGTTTTCCTATCATTCAAATTTATTAATTACAATTTCAGCATTATTCTTTATCACGCCCTCGCTGGCTGACCCTCGTATCATCAATGGCACTCAGGCTGCAGTAGACAACACCAAATATGTTGTGTCCATAAGGCTGAAGCGTTATGAAAGCAGTTTTGGCAGTGGTCATATCTGTGGTGGTTCGCTGATAGGACCCAATAAAGTTTTAACAGCTGCTCATTGTCTGTACAAGTAAGTGCATATGACGCCCGAAACAGGCGATAATCAATTTCGTAATTTATGTTTTGATTTGTCTTTTTTTCTTCGTAATCAATGTTAATAAACATGTAATAATAAATATTTTTGAAAAAGAAAACATGACGCAAAAGTAACCTTCAATTTGTCTATCTCTTTCTTCCATGCCATTGCAGTAGCGATAAAAAGCGTTATCGTAAAGCGAATGAATTCGTTGTTGTTTTGGGTGCCCTGAATCGATTCCAGCGTGTTAATGGTACAATTGTCTCGGATGTCAAATCAATTGCCTACATGAACACTTTCAGCATGGATACAATGCGTGATGATATCGGTCTGATGTTTTTGAAAACAGGTTTGCCGGTAAACAAGAGCCACTTGACCGTGGAACCAATTGCAATTGCCAATACAACCACGCCAATTGGGGTGTCATGTCAAGTTTCGGGATGGGGCAAAACTGAGAGGGTATGTTTCGAAATAAATCTCATTAACCCAAAAAATTAAACAATTATGTCTTTTCTTATAACTTTTAGGGCTCCCTTTCGCCAGTCTTGCTTACCGCCAATGTGACAACCATCTCGAAATCAGTTTGCTCCGTTTCCTATAACAATGGCATACTGAATGGTATGTTGTGTGCCGGTCATCTACGTGGTGGTACCGATTCCTGTCAAGGTGATTCTGGTGGTCCCCTGGTTTACAATAACACCCTGATAGGTGTTGTGTCATGGGGCTCGGGATGTGCCCAACCTGGATTCCCAGGTAAGAATAATTATGGTTTAGGAGAAAATTAGATTCTTAAACATTTCCTTTTTCATTGTAGGAGTCTATGTCGATGTTCAGTATTACAATAAATGGATTATGGAACGCAATGGTGCTATAAGCCGAACTTTAAGTACATTAACTCTATGCGTAGCAGTATTATTAGGATTATTTAATTATTTATAAATATATTGTAAGATTTTATTTATAATATACTCAATGTTTTGTAATTTACGATTGTTTTTATTGTCTTATCTTAAAAATAATTAGCAGATGACAAAAAATCTTTTTGGATGTTGCCTATTAGGTGTCCTACTTCATCTCTATAATATTCCGAGTTAAAAATACTCAGTAATTTTCACTGTGAGAATTTGTTCTCTTACGTTCAAATGTTGCAAAAAGTTATCGAAACGCTTTCAGGAAACCTCAAATAACAAACTGGTCCAACTACATGTTTTTAATAATTATAGAAAAATCCATAAAAGCAGAGTTGAAATGGCAAGTGTATCGATCTTTTGAGAGGGGAAAGTTTCCCTCTCTTCCACATTTTTTATTTTTTTGGAATTTTTAATTCCTTAGAATTCGTTCATTTTAAGTATATAGTGACTTTATATATAGTCAATATTAAAAATTTCTATATGAGGATTTAAATTCATCTCAATAATAAACATATTTGTTGTATAGGAAACAAATATATTTATTACGATTTAGTACTTTTCGCACACGTTATATTACGGATTTCCAAACTCACCGTCATATCTAAAATCTACACACACAGTGATTCATATGCTAATGTTCACAGTTCTAGTATTTTTCCTACAGTCTATACAAAATTTTGTACCATTTAGTTTTATTCGCATACGTTATAGTACGAATTTCCAAATTCTCCTTCTTATCTTAACGCTTCATAGTTCTATGCTACTTCTACTTTATGTAAAAATTAGTACCATTTACCATTTAAAAAATAGTACATTTCTTACACTTAGTACACGTTTTCAAAACCATCTCCTTACTTATCACCACACTACTTTCCAAACTTGAATCTCATACCAAATTTCAAGATTACACCTTTACCTGTTTTAATTTTTCCAAATTAATACCAAAACCTCATTCTACGACACATCAAAGACCCCCATTCCAAATTTCAGATTTCCACCTCTACCAAATATTTGAGTATATATTTTCAAAACCACTATCAAATCCACATTTCAAAGTTCCAAAAGTAGTACCATTTAGTACTTTTCGAATAATTATAGAACGCATTTCCAAAAACCGCCGCCAGATACCAACATAGACCTTAAATTCAAATATCAGGTTTCCAGCTCTATCCCTTCACCCATTTCCCAATTTAGTGCCATTATAGTACACATTTCCAAATCCACCTCCATATTTTAACAACAGACAGCAACAGGGGCATACATATCAGCTCTATTCATTCACCCACATTTACAGTTAAAAATTTAGTACTTTTCGAACAATTCTAGTAACAATTCACCAAATACCAAGAGAGACCTAAATACCGAATTTCGGGATTCTAGCCATATCCCCTCACCCTATATCAAATTTAGTACCATTTAGTACTTTTGGAACAATTATAGAACACATTTGCAAAACCACCACCAAATCTCAGACAAAGATACCATTAGTAATTTAAATATCAATTTTCAGAATTTTATCTCTATCTTTCCAACAAGTACCGAGTATAGTATCATTCAGTACTTTTTATATAATTAAAATACACGCTTCCAAAATCACATCCATATGTCCAGGCTATACATGAACAGCGAATCTAATATCATATATCAGATTTCAAGCACAATCTGTCCACCTAATACCGAATTGTACCAAATATAGAACTTTTTAGTACTTTTCGTGTACTTGAAACACACAATTGTAAAGCGGTCCCAATACAAAATGTAAAAATTCCAGATTCATCCGTTCACCCTGAACCAAACAGTTGCGAATATGGTACCATTTACAGTTGTTAAACATTTCCAAATCCATCTTAATATATCAAATTTACTGTCGAATCTAGATTGTCATACCAAATTTCAAGTTTTCCGTTCACGTAATTCCAAATGTTACCATTTCAGAAGTTTAGTCCCATTCTATAACTATTCGTAACTGTAAAGTTCGAATTTCCAAAAACCTTATAGTACATCTATCCTGCACTTCGTCATTGATTCTCATTCCAAATGCCAGCTCATTCCGTTTTCCCGATAAAAAGTAAAAAAAAATAGTACATTTTAGTACTTTTTAGTGAGAATTGCCAAAACCCAGCCTTATAACACGTCTACGCACCTAGACTAGTCCTCCTGCTAAATTTCAAGATTCAAGCATCAGCCATTTCGTCTGGGCGTTGATTCTCGATCAGTCAGTTAGTTATTTCACTACTCTCTTATAAATATAAAATATAGGTCCACGCTTTTAAATATTTGGTCTACTTCAGTTTATATATATTTTAAAAAAATCATGATTGGTGAATTTTCAAAATTTCCAGAGCTACACGAGCGTAACCCTTTTACCGATATATTCACAAAATTGGTAAGATTTGTTTGTTTTGCAAATGTTAATAAATACACGCGAAATTACGTTGTTTTAGAATGATTTTATAGATGCATATCGAATCGTTTGCAAAGTTCAAGGCTCTACCGAAAAGTGCATATCAGAATTGCTTTGAAAATTTAAAGAAATGCTGACATACGCGTACCTTATCTACGCTTATTTTACATTGTAATAAAGGCAATCTACCTATTCGAAAAACACAACGATATCTAAATTAAATTTTTATTCAGATTAATTTTTCAAGTCCTTAAAATAAAACCAAAATTAAAGATTCGGTATGCCAATATATTATTTATAAATATAAAATATATACATATTTCATTAACAAACATTCATTTATAAAAATCATTGAGCATTAATATTTTGTTTATAAATATTTGTTGTAATTCTTTTTAATTTTTCTTTTCTTTAAATTTTTTATTCTAATATTAAAAACATGAAAAACACATTAATATATATATATGTATAATTATATTGGTATATAATACTACAAATAAAATATCAAACTTACTTAAATTTATTGTACCAAACAGCAGTTCTAACTAGGCTTATTATTTTCTTTGTTTAGAGGACCATTAAATCGTCCTCTGAGTAAGAAAACGAGAAAACAAAACAAATTTTTTCTTTGTTGTCCAAAATTTAACAACTACAACTTTGTTTTACATTCTCTCCCGTTGGTGGTTCTTCGCCCTTTTGCAGTACCATTCTCAAAGCTTGCGGATTGATGGCATTCAAACGAGTATTAGACATTAATCGTGCCAACTCAGCATTGGCTACGGCATTTTCCATGCGTTCCATTACCCTACCCACCAAGAGCTCCACGGCAGCACTAACATTATAGCCGGTGCAAGCACTTGTTTCAATATACGGTAATTTATAACGATCCGCTACAGCGATGGCCTGTTCATGGGATATCACTCGGAAGTCATGCAAATCACATTTATTGCCACACAACACAACGTCGGGATCCTCGGAGTAGGCATGCTGCCGTAATTGTTCCAACCAGTTGGATATTTCCAAAAATGATTTTTCGCTTGTCAGATCGAATATTAGCAGGAAGCCCATTGCATCGCGATAAAATGCTGTGGTCAGGGAACGAAATCTCTCTTGGCCAGCTGTGTCCCATAGCTGCAGATGAATTCGATGATTGCGACCGCGGGATGTATAGATCTGAAATAGTAAAAGCAGTCTTATAATTAATTATTATATTTTGAGGTCTTGTAAAATATACTCTAACTTTTAATGAATTAAACATCAAAGCTTCCTATGGACAATAGGAGGGAATATTAAATTTGTAATTCCGTTTGTACAACCTCGAAATATTCATCGGAGACCCCAAAAATGATATATACTCCAGATCATAATAAATTTATAAGGCGATTTAGCGATGACCGTCTGTATGTCTGATAGAGACAGACCACATTGTTCATTAATATTATGCAGGCTGATTGGTATCGAAAATGGGCTACATTAGTCCACGTTTATGGATAGCCTCCATATAACGTTACTTCAAGATTTTCGGTATTTTGAAGGTCTCTGTCACAATTTCCATCTAAATTAGATCAAACTTGGTAGTTGGGACTCTCGGTAGGTCTGTTCTCTCCCCACAAAAACTATTCGCCACAGGTCCACAGGCAAGGACATAGATGTATAAAGATGGGACAAGACAGAGTCAAGATATGGCAACCCTGTGAAAATACCTCTGTTGTTATGATATCGTAACAACATAGTTAGCAATGTTAAGCGATTTAAACCGCTTAGGCAATATGCGAATAACTGGGAAAGTCTATGGAACAGAATTTTGAAACATAATTTTTGGATTTTTTCAAACTTTTTTTGTCATTTTTTCTATAAATGTAGTTTTTTATATTAACATGATACAAACCATTTGCTCAAAATGCATTTTGTCTAGTCTTTACCATTTTATGTCTTTGCCACAGGTACCTCGCAATTTTCAGTATTTTTAAGGTTTCTGCCACGATTTCCAACAAAATTAACTCAAACTTGGCAATTCGGAGTTTCGGTAGGTCTGTTCTCTCCCTGCAAAAATTATTCGCTACAGGCCCACTAATAAGTATGGCCCTCATATACCTCCCGATTTTCGGTATTTTGAATTAGAAATTAGAGGAAACTTGACAATTGAGGTTCTTGGTGGGTCTCTTCTCTCCCAGCAAAAACTATTTGCTACAGGTCCACTAATTGGTATAGACCCCCCCCCCTATATCGGTATCTCCCGATTTTCGGTATTTTGAAGCCATTTCAAACCAAATTAGATGAAACTTGATAATTGGGGTTCAGAACATTCCTACTTGTTCTTTTCTTGCAAAAAATGCCGGTTTCAGGTGCACTATTTGGTATAGCCTCCATATAATGATCTCTCCCGATTTTCGGTATTTTGACGAGTAAAGCCAAATTTTCTAACGGATTTGTCTACAATTTTGTATTTGTAGTTTTTAGCTAGGTAGGTTTTAGCTAGGGTGAAACAGCATTGCTAATATAGGTTCCTCTTTTTCTGTAACGGTACCTCCCGATATTTGTTATTTTAATATATTTAGCCAAATTTGTTCACAAATTTTTGTAACCTCAGCCATATGGCTAGAGAGGGTATATATCATTTGATACGGTCAAAACGTGCCTCATTGAAATAACGGTTTAGACCCTAGGTTTCTTTGAACCAAATCATTTTCAGGACATTTGAGTCGATCTAGCGATGTCCGTCCATCTGTCTGGCTTGTGCGAAATTCCCAAAAAAAAATATAATCCGATTATTATTCATCCAAAGTTTGGTGTGAATTATCACCTAGCCCAAACCTGGCACATCGCAATATTTATATCAAATTTATTTAGGTCCGATACGAAATGGACAACATTACCATTAAATCACTAATTTTCCACTATTAAACTTTCAATTTTGATTCCAATTTCTATGGAAGACCTCTCAGTAGTCTGTGAATAAAAGGTGACCTCTGAGAAAAGTTGCTAAAAAAAATTCTGAATAGAGCCTCTGACTAAGATTACTTTTAAAAGACATAAAGTTATTCGACGCAGTACTCAGTATTTATATTTAAATAATAATTATATTTAAAAAAAAATAGTTTTGAAACAAAATATAAAAAATGTTTCATATCAACAACATTATATTTCAAAGGCGATTTTTACATAAAAGAATCAGTGAAGTTCTATGCATTGGAATCCGTTTTTGCAACGCAAAATCCACCAATAAAAACAACAAATCATCACCGCCAGAGAAATCTCCCCCTCCTCCACCGCCACCACCTGGAACACCTCCACCGCAAACGAAAACCAAATTTGGACCCTTATCAGATGCGGATCGTATTTTCACAAATTTATATGGGCGGCATGATTGGACTCTGAGAGGAGCATTGGAACGCGGTGACTGGTATCGTACCAAAGAAATTCTTTGTAAGGGTCGTGAATGGATTGTAAATGAAATTAAGACGTCCGGCTTGCGGGGTCGTGGTGGTGCTGGTTTCCCTAGTGGCTTAAAATGGTCATTTATGAGTGGCCCCGCAGATGGACGCCCCCGATTTTTGGTGGTCAATGCTGATGAAGGTGAACCGGGAACGTGTAAGGATCGTGATATTTTACGCCATGATCCACATAAACTAATAGAAGGATGTCTGATTGCGGGAAGAGCTCTGGCGGCACAGACAGCTTTTATTTATATTCGTGGTGAATTTTACAACGAAGCTTGTAATTTACAATATGCCCTCGCTGAGGCTTATAAATGTGGCCTCATTGGGCGTAATGCCTGTGAATCGGGTTTTGATTTTGACATTGTTATACAACGTGGTGCGGGAGCCTATATATGTGGCGAGGAGACGGCCCTTATAGAATCCATTGAAGGAAAACAGGGTAAACCCAGACTGAAACCACCATTTCCAGCGGATGTTGGGCTTTTCGGGTGTCCATCAATGGTGACAAATGTGGAGACAGTGGCTGTGTCTCCCACAATATGTCGTCGTGGTGGCAAATGGTTTGCCAGTTTTGGACGTACTCGCAATTCCGGCACCAAGCTCTTCAATATCAGTGGTCATGTGAATCGGCCCTGTACCGTTGAGGAAGAAATGTCAATGCCATTGCGGGAAATTATCGAACGCCATGCTGGTGGGGTACGTGGTGGTTGGGATAATCTCTTGGCTATTATACCCGGTGGTTCCTCTACACCAGTCATACCCAAAAAGGTGTGTGATGATGTCTTGATGGACTATGATGGCCTAATGGCCGTCCAAACATCTTTGGGAACGGCTGCCATCATTGTGATGGACAAATCGACGGATATTATCAAAGCCATTGCCCGTCTCAGTCAATTCTATCGTCATGAAAGTTGTGGCCAATGCACCCCATGCCGTGAAGGAGTTCCCTGGATGTCGAAAATTATAAATCGTTTTGTGACGGGCAATGCCGAACCGGCTGAGATAGATATGCTCTATGAAATATCGAAACAGATTGAAGGTCATACGATATGTGCTTTTGGTGATGGTGCCGCTTGGCCACCACAGGGTCTGATAAGAAATTTTCGTCCAGAAATTGAAAAGCGTATGAAGCTGTATGCTGATAAATTGCCTAAAAAGGAAACAGTGAGATTATGCAATCAGGGTAGGAAATAAATTGCATTTTGAAACAAATTGTTTTTGGTATTGGATTGGATTTGAAACACCAGTCTGGGGTCCAGGTCTGGGGATAGGAAAAATTGAGAGAGTCTTATTTTGATAGATCTCCTTTTGGGCCTTTTTATACCCTGAGCCATATGGTTACAGAGGGTATATTTGTTACTGTCAAAACTTGCCTCATAGAAACAACGATTTTTGACCCTAGGTCTCTATGGTGCGCACGATATCTCTCGAAGGAAGCATCCGATTTGATCCGAACTTGCTACATCGACCTAAATAAATACGATACAAAATTTTGCGACGTTCCAGGTTTGGTCTACATTGTTAACTTCATCATAAAATCCATATTCATCCCAAGTTTCTGTTTGAAAGAAATATTTAGATATAGCCAATTGTAAAGAATCGCTGACTTATTTCGTAAGTTATGACAGATGAAAGTAAAATTGTGACCCTTTTTGGGGTTCGCAGCTTTATATCATCTTTACAATAGATCTTGTGTTAGCAAACATGTTTGTATGTGTGAAATTTGAAGAGAGTTGAATGCTTATTTGGCTTACTTTGAGCGTTTGGTTTCTCAAAATCTTGAATCCTATGTGGGGGAGGTACCAGAAGAAATGGTCCGATCTCTACCATCTTTATAACAGATCTTGTGTTGATGGAAATATTTAGATGTGCCAAGTCTGAATGGAATCAGATATTCATTTCCCGTTTTATGAGCTCCATTGATATTCAAAATTTTGACCCTTTGTGGGGGAAGTACCAGAAGGAGAGGATCGATATATCCCATCTTTACAACAGATCTTGTGTTAGTAGAAATAATAGAATGTGTGAAATATAAAGAGAATCTAATGCTTATGCTCGGATTATATAAACGTTTTGGTTATTCAAAACGTTGACCCTTTGTGGGGAGGTACCATAAGGAATGATCCGATCTCTACCGCCTTTATAACAGATCTTGTGTTCATAGAAATATTCAGATGCGACGTTTATTTCGCGTTTTATGAGCTCAATGAACATTCAAAATTTCGACCTTTTGTGGGGAGGTACCTAAAGGAGTGGACCAATACATTCCATCTTAACACCACACCTTGGGTTAATAATATTATTGTGATTTGTAAAATTTGAAAACAATCCGACTCTTATATCACATTTTATAAGGAACATTTCAAAATTTTGCCTATTTATGGTGGAGGTACTTGGTACTTGGAGAACCGATATTGTCTATTTTCGCCCCAGACCTGGCACTGATGCAAATATTAGGATTTGCAAAGATGGAGCAAAATCGAATTATTCTTTCTCTTTCTGTGCAGTCAAATATTATTTTTCGAAAATTTCGACCTTTTGTGGGGGAGGTGCCAGAAAGAGTGGGCCAATATTGCCCATCTCCAAACTCGCTCTAAGTTTAATAATAATATTACAATGTACAAAGTTTGGGCCATACCGGAAACTCCCTTCGAAAGTTATCGTGCGCACCAACTAGACAGAGGGACAGACATCGGCAGATCGACTCCAAATGTCCTGAAACGGATTTGGTCCTAAGAGACCGTTATTTCGTTTTGGCCGCATAAAGGGTATAAAAAGATATATACATGTCTTCTATACATAGATGACTTTTTACAGCAATTCCATTGATTCCTTTAACAAGATTGCGATAAGCTCCCTTTTACAGGTGGGTTCAAGTGAGTTATAGCTCTCATATAACGTAAATTGGCATGGCAATTGAATAAGCTCTAGTACCTCTCACACACAAAAGTGAGAAAGTTTTTCCGCTGAAAAAAAACAACACACTTGTTATGGTAATGTAGTGCATAAAAATATTTGACAAGCCCATTAGAGCTATCAATTTACATGTAAATTAATGGCGACATTTTCGAAGCACACCTGTAGCGAGATACATCACAGTCATATACACACACATCATATATACATATACTTACCAATCTTTTCTCTCGGAAATCTATGCCAACTGTTGATATAAATTGCGAATGAAATCGTCCATCTGTGTATTGATACAGAAAGCTCGTCTTTCCAACACCCGAATCACCCAGTGCCAGAAATTTCATTAGGTAGTCATAATCGATGTTGTTTGGCAATGATGACATGGCGGGGATGTTGTTGCTGCTGGTGATGATGATGATGAGACTGTGGAAGGTGTTGACGATGAGACGGCCTGAAAGTGATAGGTCTTCCGTTGTCAGTGACGAGCTTAAGTGTCTGGTAGTAGTCGTGTATGGGAACCTCAGAGTTGAAAAGTTGCCTCTGCTTGTCAATGTCAAGCTGATTTTCCACAGTATACGATGACAACGATGATGTCTGGTATTCCCCTGGAGAGTGGTATTAAAATAACAACCACACACACACACTCTCAGACGCACATACACTTCAATAATGGGCCAATGATTTTCCTCCTGTTGTGCTGTGCTGAGCAGACGGGCGGTTATAGCTGTTTGTGGAAAAGAATGTGAAAACAAGTAGTATAATTCAAGATGGTATCATTAAATAATTTTGTTTTCATAATGGAAATGGCAAACAATACTGTCTGCTGTGCATGGTAGGACAATGACTTTGAAGATAATTGTTTACGTAGGCCTACCCCACCCACACACACACACACACAGATACATATGTACGTGGGATGGATGCCATAAAAAGTGTTTATAGTTTTTTATTTTGTTCGAATAAAACAAATATTGGCGAAATATAATTTTTGAAAATTGAAGTTCATATTTAAATTGGGAATTGGAGTGAACTAAATCATACCAACTAAGATCGTTATTGAATTCGCATTACGGCTTTAGAGCAGTTCTAATTTGAAATCGGAAAGAAAAAAAAACGATTACCAATAAATTTTGAAGGAGGTATTGTTACGATGCATTAAAAATCGTCGCTATACAGGGTGAGATAAAAAAAACTGCAACAAAGTCAACGCCATAATTTTTACAATTTTTTTAATTTTATTGAACGAAAGCAAAAAATTTCGGAAATAGCATCAATTTTTATAATAAGTTAAGATTTGTTCGAATTGGTCACCTTTGGCACGAATTATGGCCTTCAAACGGCCAATGAAACCGTCACACGATACCCGAATGCTGCTCTGCGGTATTTTGGCCCATTCCCGGCGAAGCGCTTGCTTGAGGTGATCGATACTTTGGTATTTTTAGTACCAACCTTGGTTTCCAAAATACTCCAGAGAAAATAGTCCAACAGATTGATTTTTTGGTGGCTTTGGCAAGTAAACGCCATCATTTTGTTTGTTTACCAAATTCGGCAGTTCACCACTTTCGGCCAAACGAAGCAACTCTTTAGCTCTTTTGAATCTATTTTATTACTGTTGCGGTGTAAGTTCTTGAACTTTTTGGAATTTCAATGGCTTTACCAAGAGCTCATTCTTCAATATTTGCTGAATGGAATATTTCGATATGTTCAACTGACGAGCCATTTTTCGGCCACTGCGAGACACAAACGATTTATTCACATTTATACGCTGGAGTGCTATAGCGATAGCCACTTGTGGTTTTCCAACCAAATATAAAGAAATCACACTGTCACGCTTGAATTCCATCACGAATAACTTTTTTCTGGAAAGATTCTCACCAAAATGCTTTTGTACGCTTGTAAACAATATAATGAGCCGCCACTGAAATAATTTTAACAGCTGTCGGACGAGTGGTTTAGGAATGAGAGCAGTCTGAAATTGGTTGTAGTTTTTTCATCTTACCCTGTAGAGAGCATATTATAACTTTAAGAAAGCATAGTGTAAGATCGATTGCAACACATAGATGGTATATATAGCTATTGCTCTGTTTCAGAACTGCAAAAATGTAAAAATTGTTTCTACGATAACCGATTTTCCCTTCATGATTTCGAAAATGAATTAGATGTCACTGTTGGTGTCTGTGGTTAATATATGGAGGTGGTTTTGAAATGAGTACTAAATTGTTCGAAAAGTACTGAGCGGTACTAAATTGGATTATTGGATTAAGGGATAGGACTGGAATCCCAACATTTGATATTGATGTCTCCGCCATTATCTGATGGTGGTTTTTGAAAATTGAGATAACTGCCGATGTCTGATGGATGTAAGGTGGATATGCGTGCTAAATTTGGGATTGGGTAAAAGGATAAAGTTGATATTTTTAAATTTGATATTGCTACGGAGGCATTGAAAAAGTTTTGGACTGAAAATTGGATGGGGGTCCATTGTGCAATTGGTTTACTAATATTCTCCTCGGTAAACCTCAAAATGAAAGATTCTAAAGACTTTTAGGTGTAAGAGTTAAACATTTCCCTATTATTCTTTCCGAAAAAGGAACAACTTGAATAATATATAAAACCTTAAAAATATGAATGTTTTGTACGATGTATGAAGTTTTTGATTTAAAAAATGTGAAACTAGACAAATTGTGCATTTTGAATACTAAGACAAAATTTTGGAACGAATCTAAAATTTTAAGGTAGACTTTGCGCTGACGAAGTTTAGGTCACTTGGCTTTATGCCACAATTATTTCAAGGTAGTTTCAAATAAGAATATTAGCTCAGAGAGCTTTAGAAAGCATATTCCCATCTCTGATTTGAATTTACAATGGATTTATAAATACTCAATTTGACTATAATTATATATAATTTTGATAGAAAAAAAAATGTATAAAATATATAGTTGCACAAGGTTGAATCCTTCTAGGGTTTTTTTATATTTTCATAAGCGACTTTGCGGCCTAATTTATTGGTCTGTTCGAAAAATTTCAAGATCTACCAAGCTAAGATCGTAGATTTTTTATAAACCATCCTTTAAGGTAATTTCAAACTAATATTTTGGATTTCTTAAAACATATTTTACATATGTAAAGTGACTTATTTCACTTTTTTTGGCTTTTTTTTATAGAATACCTTAAGTTCCTCCAGAAAACCTTCAACCTTATATAAATATGATCCAGTATGCCTTTGATCTTTCCAACCGAAGTGAAAATCCATTTTTTATGGATCGTACATGAAATATTTTCCTTATATCTTTCTTTACCCAATACTAATATACTTAATAATATTGTAATACGCAAATTTTCTTCGAACTGCAGTATATTTTCAATTTAAACAAAACCAATTTTACCCAGAGGCAATTCGTTCTAATTTTGTTTAAAAAAAAGGATGAGTAATTTCTTTTGAATACCTGGATGAATATAATTCTTAGCCTTTCAATTAATTGTGAGGGAATCCACAAAACCCTAATTACTGGCTACGCAGTCCACAAAGGAGCTCAAAATTGAATAAGAATTAAGTAAAAGCCTATTCCAGACGGTTTTAACCACTAAACTGTTGAATTAATGTCTCACAATGAATTATTTAAATAATTTAAAGAGCAAGACACAATGTGGGTAGGGTATAATAAATTCTTAAGCAAATTTCTTGTAACTTCTTCCCACTTGCAAAAGTATCTACATAAATGCAAATACCACAAATGCCACCCCACAAAGTGCCATGACAAAAAGAAAACTTTATTGATTTGTCCATTCAGGGATTTCCATTTAAATTGAAACTTTATGGATGATACGCCATAAAAATGTGCAAAACATTTTTTCTCTAAACAATAATGTATTTAAAGTGGCAACAAATCCGTTAAGGATATACATGAGTGTGTGTATAGGCGCGCACACACACACACACATAAATATTGAACAAGCTTATTTGAATACCCTTGTCAAACACATTTCTTTGCGGTTCAAAGTGGCTGAACGTTGTTCACATAACTTAACAACAAAGGGTGAAATACTTTTGTGGTCATCATCATAATCTTTTTTTGTTAGCCACATTTGTTTTCTTGTTGTTTTTTAACAAGTTATGACATTCTTGGGGATTTTTTATTGACATTTTTTAAAAGAAGTTGTTTTCTGTTTTCTTGTAAAATGGGATGTTGTTTCTAGCAGAGGTCGTTGAACTACAAAGGCAAGCAAGAATGTTGAGTTGTAAGGGAATTGAATATGCTAATTATTATTTTAGGAAAATTGCGGTTTTCTTAAAGAAAACAAACAGCTCTTGTAATAGAAGATAAATATGATTTCGTACTGTGGGAGAGCAGGCCTTATCATAGCAAGCAAATAAGACCAGGTTACACATTATGTGGAAGTCCTATGTTAAGTGTCTTTTTTTACATTTATCTTGCGCAAAGTATAATATTAGACACTTCCCAGAATTTTGGAGGTGAAAATAAATAATTTTCAATAAAGTACTAGCAAATGCCTACTACTTGGTTAGTGAAGGTAGAAAAAATTTATACATGTCTAAACATAAATTTGATGTTAGTTTTCCAACGGTTTACAATGCTCTTTTATTAAAAATATCTGAATACAGATGAATTTACTTTATATAACGAAGATCTAGTAGTCAGCCATATCACAAAGGGTATATTAAGATAAAAAAAATAAAAATTCTCCTCTCTTTGGGATTAGTGTTAAAGATGTACAAAAGTACTAATAGACGGATTTTTTACCTTTGTTGTTTTGTGTTGAAATAAAGAGGCGTTGTGGGATCTTAACATAGTAGGTACTACTAAACATTCCATGTGTTGCCATTTGTGAACATATGTAGATAAAATGCGGAATTTCAAAATTTTGCACAACAGGCTCTCGAAACGTTATAGGTGGTTAACGTTTCGAGAGCCTGTAGTGTGAAATAGAGAAAAATGTAGCCTTAAATTCAAAAAAGATAATAGATTTTCTCAAGTATTCGATTTGAGTAATTCAGAAATGTACATTACCTTTATTAACTCATTTTATTCCGAGACATAATTTTTTTTTGTTTTAATAAAAATTTACTTTTTTAGGATAATTTGGTCCCCCTGATGTCAAAAATTAACTCAGAAAAATTTTCCGATTTTTCAAGTGAAGTTTACACATACAGGGTGAGATTAACAAACTGCAAGCAACTTTTCAGACTGCTGTCATTTCAAAGCCACTCGTCCGACAATGGTTAAAATTATTCCAGTGACAGCTCATTATATTGTTTACAAGCGTACAAAAGCACTTTAAAGAGAATTTTCTAGAAAAAAAGTAGAATTCAAGCGTGATAGTGTGATTTCTTTATATTTAGCTGAAAAACCACGAGTGGCTATCGTTAGAGCACTCCAGCATTTAAATGTGAATAAATCTTTTGTGTCTCGTACCATTTCTCCGACGTCAAGGAAGTGGACAGAAGAAAACAGCAACATCAGCAGAAATGGTTCGAAAAGTAAAGAAGCAACTTCATCGAAACCCGCGAAACGTCGCAGTGGCTGATCATATCGCAATATTCCATTCGGCAAATATTTAAAAATCAGCTCGGGGTAAAGCCATTGAAATTCCAAAAAGTCCAAGAACTTACAACGCAACGGAAAGAAAATAGACTCAAAAGAGCTAAAGAGTTCCTTTGGTTTTCTCAATTATTAATCGACCGCGGCATCAGAATAAATGCCT